GAGCTCGAACTCCTCCGGGCCCAGGTCCGCGACGGGAGTGGCGGTGCTGGGGGTGCTGATGGAGCTTCCCGGGGAGTCGGCCACCTGCCTCTGGCGGATGGTGAACTCGCACCAGCCGGTGATGCCGGCGGCGCCGCTGGCGCGGACGCGGATGCCCTCGCTGATGCGCTGGAAGAAGGCTGGGTAGGTGACCTCCTTGGTCAGGCCGGGGGCGAGGGTGATGACCTCGAAGATCTGGTAGCCGGCGACGGGGCTGGGGGGCTGCAGCTCGAAGAAGGGGTCGTTGGCCGCGTCCTCGGTCACGGCAGTTGGCTCGAAGCGCGAGAGCGTGCCGAGATTACGGATGATGGGGTCGGCGGTTTGGATGTATGCAAGAGCGGCGGAGGGAGGGAGGTTCTGGGGGACAGGGACGGTGATTGACATCTGGCGTTGGACCCTCATGGCGACGGCTATCTATCTGCCCTCATGCTGGAGCAGAAGAGGCAGAGGGTGGGAGAGAAAACCTGGGTTCACTGATAAGGATGTTGGGCGCTTGTTGGATGAGGCCGAAACCAAGTGAAGACAGAAAAAGAGTCGCCAGACCAGGCTATTAACGGAAGGTGTGCGCCGTGGGCGATATTCTATGTTGAAAGATCAACGAGAGTGGTGATGCGACGCGATCAAGGCAGGCTTGACACAAGGCTCTGCATTGAAGGACTGAGGCAAGATGGTGCGATGGAGTAAGCTATCCGTCCCAATGAAAACGACTGCTTGGTAGCGCTACACATCCACGCCTGGGCTCTGCTGAGACGACGTGAGGACCTGATGGTTATGGGAAATCTAGCTGGCGTTGAGAAGGGACGTTGGGAGGTTGAGATGTCAATTCATGGGATGTTGAATGGCCGGAGCCGCCGAGGTGGTGGCAGAAGTGGGAGGGGAGGAAAAAAGACGCCTCTGTGTAATCGTGGAACAAGGGGTGGGGGGTTTGTTGGGAGGGGACGACTCGAGGCCTCGAGGCTGTCGCGTGTGGGAGCAATGGGCAGATGTGGCTGGAGGGAGGAGAGATTGACATGTGTGGCTGGGACGGTTGCGTCTGCTGCTCCGTAGTGCCAACTTAGATATCCAAGGCAGTTGGCCATGCTAGTTTCCACGGCCTGGCGTGGTGAAATAGAGGACACATCCAGGCCAACAATACCTCTAGGCATGTCATCGCCAGATTCTGGCCTGTGGCTGTCACTGGGTGCCAAGCATCGTCTCCATGCACGGGGAATATGCAACTGCCATCACCCTCCCTATGCTTACCGCTCCTGGCAGGTAACAGCCGGGACTTCAAGCCAACCGACCAACCAAGTGCCAAAGGACAGCTAATATTTGAGCCAGTCCAACCATCTCTCGGCTGCGACGTGCACCAACAGTACGGGACAATTAGCTTCCCCGACGCCATCCCCTCCCTTGGGAAGAAAATCACCGAGGCGGCCACCACTCCCTCTGCAGGACATTTGCTCACTCTGTGACGCTGCTGACAGAATCTAGCGCTTTCTAATTCTGACCATGGTCAGACTTTGATCAATCTTCTCAGCTAGCCTGAGGATATGTTATGCGCACATGAGAAGAGGGTGGCGGCACGGGAAAGCCATGTCCTCCCGACTTACATTCAAGCACGAGACCCGATTTGACGCCAGTTGGACATCACCCAGCGCACCAGAGACCCTGCATGGGTGTTGCGCGTCCGAGCTGTGTAACATTCTGGCAGGCAAGCATGGTGTAGAGCTTACGCAGGTCTGCTTTGCCTTGCAATCAAGACCCAACATCCAATCTTACATGTGTATCGATCCCGTAGCTACACCCTGCCTAGACAAAGCCTGGTACGATCGAGTAATCGATCTTGTTAGAGACGGAAGCATCAACACTAGCATGGGATGGATAGGTAGGTAGGCCAGACATCCACTTCGGTAGGGCTGCTTCGAGTTCTGGAAATCCACCTGGCAACTCACCTCGCTGGGCAGGCTATTGCAAGCCATCGCAGACTTTGCCCCCCAGTGGAATAAGACAGGCAACACAGCCCACGTCGGGTCTGACCGCTCCAGGTCTGACAATGTGATGCGTCGTTGATGCGTATCATAAAAATTCTCAACAATGCCATGATCCATCCCGCTCGCCCTCGGTCGGGAGAAGTTGGGTATCGCATGGGACAAGGACAATCCATGGACCCTTTTTTTCCCCTCTGAAAGCCCTTCCAATAACTTCCCATGGTTTCTCTGCGAGTCGCTTGGTTGCTGAGCTGGCCCGCTTAGGTTGGTAGGTAGGCTGTGTGCTTGGAGTTCAATAAAGCGGTGAGCGACTCTGCTGAGACTCAAGAGCGAATCGAATTGATGCAGAGCCATTTTAGTTCCCGATGGGTACCGACTGATGGAGACGATGGGACGGCTAAGCAGGTTAGTGTTTTCTCGGCGCATCAAGCTTGGGCAAGGGTCATGTCATGTTGAAACAGAGAGGTACATGTGAGTTGGCGCATGGCTGCCCAGTTTTGCGAGTCGAATGTACCTACGGCTTCCCGGTCCCAAAAACGTGGTTTGCTTGTTGGGCGTTACCGCAGTTCGTCAGAGACCCAGGATGGACGATCTGTGGTGTGTTAGGCAGGCTGATCTATTTGAGAACACGGCGGCTCTGCTGCCGGCCGTTCATGCAATCATACGTCGATGGGCTGGCAGGCTGGGCTGGCGAGATTTACAGGTCGTATTTGTGCGGGTGTCTCTCTTTCCTATCCACAGATAGTTCTCGAGATGCGACGTCCCCTCTTTGACTCTGGACACTGGCATCTCGCTTGAACGCCTGTGGCACCTTATTCCCGGCACTTAAGCGGTTCTAGCGTTCTCATCTGAACGAGGCGTCACTGGAAGAACAGGGCTGCCAGTAATATCAATTGGCCATGCAGAGGCAACATAATACGCGCCTACGTAGCTGTTCAAGAAGCAGGTACGCATTGCGGGGAACGGATCGTTGGCGTGAAGGGGGAATATGACAGAGCGAGAGAGGGAGAAAAGAGGAAAAGAACCGAGCAATGGGGTTTTCAAAATTTCCCACCATCCGCGAATAGCGTCATTAAGCAGGGGATGTCATGTTGTCCCGCACCATCCCAGATATAATCCAGTCTCGCGTGTCGCTTGATTCTGGGCCGACTGCACCTGAATCTGAATGCCTACAAATGTAGATGGGTGCCATCGCTTGCAGCAGAGCTGCCGTAATGGTGCATTCGGCCTATTAGCAGGATGTATATGAGCTGCTGCTATCTGCCAGGGAAGCCTACCCGAGCCCGTTTCTGCTGTGCATGGCAATTTATTTGCTTGTGAAAGCGCTGAACCCTGGCGATTAAAAAGTGGGCTGCATGCGCTCCCTACAGCTGGCTGTTACCCAACTCGGACGGAGATCACTCCAACATCATGTAGGTACGTGGGCAGACTGAGGCATTGGAAGGGCTGATCTGTGTTTTGTTTGGCCACGCCATCGGCCAGTGTGGTGAGATGGCATAAGCTATCCGATCCTCCAAGCCCACTCGCCGGCTGGGAATTGCGCTGCAAGCAAGCGCATGGCGGTGTCGTTCTGTGGTCTTCAATGCAAAGCACTATCATGCCAGCATATTGCCCGCAGTTCACGCCCAGCAGCTGCACCAAGGCGCCCCTACGTAATGAACCAAGCAATTAACCGGCAGCATGGTCTGGCCATGACCGACAGCTGGTCTGATGATGTTAATGGGCAGCAGCCCCGCCCCCAGCCATCCACCATGATCCATCCATCCATCCATCCTAACAAAGTCCCTGGTCCCCTACTATGTAGGTACCTTCAAGAATTCTCCCACCCCTCCTCCCGCCCCTCCTAGCTGTGAGCCACAGTACTGTAATTAGGTACAGTCTCGTTGGACGACTCACACGGCGGAGCTGGAGGCGTGTATGTACGTCAGGTATCAACACGCACCGATACCTACAAGTAGTGTTGGCCTCCCTCTGCGTTCTGCGTACCGATCTAGTATCTGCATATGTTGTATGATCCATGTGATTTAGTACCGTGCCCATTGCTTGGACCTGCCGGCTGGGGCACATTGATCTACACCCACCTTCGACGGCACCCAGTCAGCTGGCTGCCTGTGTCGTAGATTCCAGGTAAGGGAGCTCTCCTGCGTCTTCCCTCCCCCCATTGTCGCATCCTCGACCTATAGGACCGCTCGATCTCCTTTGTGTCTCCTTGTTGGTGTGACATACTCTTTTTGATGCAGGCAAGATTGGCTGACCTCCCGACCAAGGACGGCTTGTGTTTATTGGTTGCGCGTCTGTCTTGTATTCTAATTTTTTTTTTTTGGCATTTTCTTCCTCCCTATATTTGTTTTATCGCACTCCCCCTTCTCAAGCTGTGTGTGTGCGTGGCGGAAGGATTGCGAGACAGAGAGGGACCTGAATATACCCCGTGGTTGTTTCGTATCCTACCCGCTCGCTTCTCACCCTCGCTTCCCATCTGCATCTGCCTCTTCTTTTGGGCCCCCCAGACTCGACGGCCAGTTGCAGAAGGCAGCTACGCTAGCCTGGCAAACAAACTAGGAAGAAAAAAAACAAAAAAGAACTCCAAGGCCGCTGACAGGGATAAGGGTTTGGATTTCCCGGGCGACCAATAACAGGGGCCCATAAAAATTCTTGGGGGCTGGTTAGTACTTCATTATCTTATCCTGTCCGCCGTCACAAGCTTGCGGCATCATTGATCATATCGCCTTGTTTGGAGGAGAGGAAAAATCCACGGGAAAGGGTATGTATGTGGTTTTGAGTGTGTTGCTTATTTGATGCATAGCGCCCGGCTTCTCTCGACGATACCCGAACGACAGCATTTCTTTACGAGCGGATTTGATTTACTTTGCCAACATTATTACACCCTCTTTTGCCATCGCGACCGAGCCAATTGCATTATTCACACCTGCCCTCAGCTAGCTTCCATGATTGCTACACCAGTTTGTCACGACACAAGCTCGATCCTGCGCAATGGCTGCGGCCGACGTCTTGACATTCGCCGGGAGCTGCTTCGAGAACGAATATGGCTACCCGAGACCTCATACCGAGACGATTGGGCCGGATGAGCTGCCGGTGGCGCTGCGGTTGCATGCCATAGCTAAAGCCTGGCTCACGATACGATGCGACGCCTCGGTACGTTGCTTGTTTACTTCTTGGATAGCTCGAACCCGCAGCTAGTGTGCGTGTGTGCGTGCGTGTGTGTGCAACAGCATAGCTTCAACGTTTTGTCCCATTCTTAGCCGTTGCCTTGCGCAATCAACCCAAGAATTCGGGAAATCGGAGAGTGGGGGAGCTGGAAGTCGCACGCCACAAGCGGCACCGCTGAACCTTGATTACCTCTAGCTGACTTACACACCTCCTATAGAGCCGCCGTTCCTCACCATTCTCTCGACACGCATCGAAACGACCATTGAACAAACCGACATGGAAAATCACATGGCCGCCTCAATGTTCCTCTGAGCATGAGGAAACAGACCGAGTCGCTGATCCGACTGGAACCGATCGATTAGCCCACTCGGCGGAGCCCTGCAGCTCAGCACCCTTTGCATCCGTTACGGCCAGAACTTCTTCCCGATCTCAGTCTAGAAAACAGTTCCTGGATGACCCCATCCTCAACGTTATGGTCGACTTCGACTCCAGACGAGGCATTTACGAATATGCCAAAAAGAAAGGAAAGAAGGCTACATCAGTGCCCCTGAACCTCGCTCCCGAGAAGAAGGACGACGTGCCCCCTGGCGATGGCAACAACAACAACGGGGACAAGAACGGCGGCACTGGAAACAGTGGTGCTGGCGGAGGTGCTGGCGGCGGCGGCAATGGAAACAACGGCAACAGTGGTGGAGGTGGTGGTGATGATGAATGGGCTACGTTCACCTCAACAAAGCCTAAGAAAAAGAAAGGAGAGGCTGATGGCGGACTTCCTACCATCCCCACCTCCGATTTCGGCACTGATGCATTTCAAGAGATCAAGTTGGGGGAAGATATAGGAGGGAAACTCGATGTGAATTTCGGCGCCCCAGGCTCAAAAAATGGTGCTGGGTCATGGGGCACAGGAGGAGGCGGTGGTGGTTGGGATTGGAGTGGCGCCCCAGGTGCAGACCCTGGTGGAGGAGGGGCAGGAGGAGGTGGGAACGCCGAGGGTAACCCCTGGAGCATTGACCGCCCCAAGCCCAAGAAAACAAATAAGTCCACATTCAGCTTCGGCGCAGACGAACCGGACGATTCTGGCGGCAAACCTGATGATGATTGGGGATTTGTTTCCACCAAGGACAAAAAGAAGCAGAGCAACCTGTGGGGTCAAGAAGAGGATAACAAGGACGCTTGGGCCTTTGGCGCTTCCAACAAGAAGGGTTCCGCCGCCCTCCTCGACGGCACGCTAGACGACCCAACGCCTGGCAAGAAGGAGGACGACATCTGGGACACTTGGGGCGGTGGCGACCCCAAAGCCAAAAAGAAGAACCTACTTGGTGATTTCGGCCCGCCTGACCCCGCGCCAGAGCCCGCCGCTGGCTCTTCCGCAATCGACAGCTTCTGGGGGGCCGTCACCGGGAAGAAGGACACCAAGAAGAAAATCCCCGAGGCTCCCGACCCGCCAGCATCCATGGGCCTGGATGACGACTTCGGCTGGGGATTTGGCAGCAAGAAGAAGCCAGAGCCGAAACCAGTCGAGGACGAGGGCGAGTTCTGGAGCTTCGCCAAGAAAATCACCAAGAAGACGAATGCGCTTTTCGCCGACGAGGAACCCGCTCCAGTCAAGCAAGAGCCGGCTGCCGACGACAGCTGGGGCTTTTGGGGTGCGAAGAAGCGGGAGAAGAAGCCCGCTCTCTTTGACGATCCTGTTCCGGAAGCGCCGCCCAAAAAGAACGCACTCGATGACTTGATCCAGCTTGACGATGGCGTCGGCGGCGGCGGCGGCGATGATTTCTTCAGCTCCTTTGGAGTCGCCAAGAAAAATCAAGGTAAGGCAATTAATTTCCTAATGAATGGATGGAAGATGGCGATTGAGAGATGTTATGATTTTCAGTCTGTCGCATTGAAGAGGGGAGCAGGAGCATCACGTGCATCATGATTGGAAGCAGGTTCACTAACTACGACCACTTACAGAGGATGAAGCTGCACGTGCTGCAAAGGAAAAAGAGATTGCAGCTGAAGAGGAGGAGCTTGCCGCCTTAGAGCTTAAGAAGCTGAAGAAGACCGGCAAGCATGCTCTGAAGAAGGACCGAGACCGCTATGACCTCTTGAAGGCCAACCAGGAACAACGAGCGATGAACAATGCGATCAAAGAAGCGGAGGAGCAAGCTGCCCGTGAGGCGGAGGCGGCCGCGGCAGAGCAAGCTCGAATAGCGGAGGAAGAGAAAGCTAAAGCCGAGGCGGAGGCGATTGAAGCAGCAGCCGAAGACACAGAATTCGCCGACCTGGAAGCCAAAAGGGTTAGAAGAGGAGGAAAACTTACTCTCAAGAAGGACAGAGACCGGTGGGATGTTCTCAAAGCCAAAGCTGAGGAGAGGGCTGCAAAACGAGCCGCCCTTGAAGCCGAATCGCTGCTCGTCGAGGTACCACCGCCACCGCCTCCAGAACCCGAAGGTCCGGATCCTGCTCAACTTGCTGCTGAGGAGGAAGCGGCAAGGCTCGCGGAAGAGAAAGCTCGAGCCGAGGCCGAAGAACAGGAAATCGCTGCCGAGGAGAAAGAACTCGCGGCGCTTGAGGCCAAGAAGGCGATGAAGAAGGGCAAACTTGTCTTGAAGAAGGACCAGGACCGTTACAACATCCTCAAAGGCAAGGCTGACCAGCGAGCTGAAGCAAAAGCTGCCGCTGAAGCTCAAGCGGCAGCCGAGGCACAAGCCGCTGCTGAGGCAGAGGCAGCCGCAGCCGCAGAGGCCGAAGCAGCAGCAGCAGCCGCAGCAGAAGCCGCCGCAGCAGCCGAGGCTGAAGAAGCTGCTCGTCTCGCGGTCGAACAAATCGCAGCTGAAGAAAAAGAGCTCGCAGATTTAGAGACAAAAAAGGCTAGGAGGGGCAGGCTCACCTCTAAGTTAGATCGAGACCGATACGACGAGCTAAAGGCTAAAGCGGACCAGAGAGCCCAGGAAAGAGCAGCAAAGGAGGCAGAGGAAGCTGCAGCAGCAGCCGAAGCTGAAGCAGCAGCCGCCGCCGAAGCAGCCGCCGCAGCGGAGGCCGCAGCAGCACAAGAAGCGGAGGAGGCTGCCGCCCGCGCTGCTGTAGAGCTCGCCGCAGAAGAACAGGAGCTTGCAGACCTCGAGACCAAAAAGGCGAAGAGAGGCAGACTTACCTCTAAACCGGATAGAGATCGATACGACGTGCTCAAGGGCAAAGCAGAAAAGAGAGCTCAGGAGAAGGCAGCAAAGGAGGCAGAGGAGGCTGCTGCAGCTGCCGAAGCTGAAGCAGCAGCAGCCGCCGAAGCAGCCGCCGCAGCAGAGGCAGCAGCAGCACAGGAGGCTGAAGAGGCCGCTGCTCGTGCTGCTGAAGAGGTCGCTATCGAGGAGCAAGAGCTTGCAGACCTCGAGACCAAAAAGGCGAAGAGAGGCAGACTTACCTCTAAACCGGATAGAGATCGATACGACGAGCTCAAGGGCAAAGCAGAGAAGAGGGCGCAGGAAAAAGCAGCAAAGGAAGCAGAAGAAGCAGCAGCTGCAGCAGCCGCTGCGGAGCCTGAGCCCGAGCCTGAGCCCGAGGTCGCGCCTGAACCTGAACCCGAACCCGAGCCTGAGATTGATCATGAGGCTGCTGAGAGGGAAGCCAAAGAAATTGCGCTTGAAGAAGAGGAATTAGCACTTCTAACTAAGAGGGCCCTTAGGGGTAAGCTTTTGAAGAAGGACAAGGATCGCTACGAAATCCTGAAGAAGAAATCCCAGGAGAGAGCCGACGAGAAAGCAGCCAAGGAGGCAGCGGAGGCAGAGGCAGAGGCAGCAGCGGCGGCGGCAGCAGCAGCAGAGCCAGAGCCAGAACCGGAGCCGGAGCCGGAGCCAGCGGAGGAGCCAGTACCGGAGGCTGATGAAGCTGCAGCTCTCGCTGAAGCAGAAGCTGCTCTCATTGCGGAGGAAGAGGCAGAACTTGCAGCCTTGGAGGTCAAGAAGGGACGAAAGAATAAGTTCACGAAGAAAGATAAGGAGAGATACGACCAATTGAAGGACAAGGCAAATGCAAGGGCCGAGGCCGAGGCGGCTCGACTGGCAGAAGAGGCGGCGGCGAGAGAAGCCGAGGAGCTTGCTGCCAAGGAGGCTGAGGAAGCAGCTGCCAGGGAAGCTGAGGAGGCTGCAGCTCGGGAAGCAGAAGAGGCAGCCGCCCGGGAAGCGGAGGAGGAAGCCGAACTTGCAGCATTGGAAGTTAAGAAGGCCAAGAGAGGGAGGCTTCCGGCCAAGAAAGATCGCGACCGCTACGATGAACTCAAGGAGCGCATTGATGCACGGGCGGCGGCAAAAGCTGCAGAAGCTGAGCTTGAGCCTGAACCCGGACCCGAACCTACTCCCGAAGAGGAAGATCCAGAGGCAGCGGAAGCCGCTGCCAAGGAAGCCGAAGAAGCCGCCGCTGCTGCTGAAGCTGAAGCAGCGGCAGCAGCAGAAGCCCAAGCAGCAGCCGAAGCCGAAGCGGCGGCAGCTCGTGAAGCTGAGGAGATTGAGATTGAAGATGCCGAGCTTGCTGAGCTCGAAGCCAGGAAGGCTAAGCGAGGGAAGCTGGCGAGCAAAAAAGAGCGTGAGCGCTACGACTATCTCAAGGAACGAGCTGACAAAAGAGCTGAGGAGAAGGCAGCGGCTGAAGCAGCAGCGGCTGAAGCAGAAGCCGCCGAAGCAGCCGCCGCAGCCGAAGCAGCCGAAGCAGAAGCTGCAGCTGCAGCAAAGGAAGCCGAAGAGGCTGCAGCAAGGGAGGCTGAAGAGATTGCAGTAGAAGAGGCGGAACTTGCTGAGTTAGAAGCTAGGAAAGCTAGGAGGGGAAGACTCCCCTCTAAGTTTGTTGAAAGATACGACTTTCTCAAAGAGCGTTCGGAGAAACGGGCTGCGGATGCTGCTGCTGCTGCTGCCGCCGCCGCCGAGGCAACCGTAGAAGAAGAAGAAGAAGCTGAACCAGAGCCAGAGCCTGAGCCTGAGCCTGAACCTGAAGAAGCCCCCGAGGAGGTTTTTGAAGACGCTGAGGCTGAGGCCGAGGCTGATGATGCAGCTGCCGCTGAAGCAGCTGCTCGGGAAGCTGAGGAAATCCTTCTCGAGGAGCAGGAACTAGCTGATCTTGAGGCTCGGAAAGCCAGAAAGGGAAAACTCTCCTCCAAGAGCACCGAAAGATACGAGCTTTTGAAGGAACGATCAGAGAAACGGGCTGCGGATGCTGCTGCTGCCGCTACCGCTGCCGAGGCCGCTGTAGAAGAAGAAGAAGCCGAACCCGAGCCTGAGCCAGAGCCTGAGGCTGAGGTTGATGACGGACCTACAGCTGAAGAAATCGAAGCGGAGGAGCAGGAGCTAGCTGATCTAGAGGCGAGGAAGGCCAGAAAAGGAAAGCTCTCATCTAAGAGCACCGAAAGATACGAGTATCTGAAAGAACGCTCAGAACAGCGGGCAGCAGCAGCGGCTGCTGCCGCTGAGGCAGCTGAAGAAGCTGAGGCAGAGCCAGAGCCTGAACCTGAACCTGAGGAGACTCCTGAGGTTGACGACGCAGCTGCAGCTGAAGAAATTGAAGCTGAAGAGACGGAGTTGGCAGACTTAGAGGCAAGGAAGGCTAGAAAGGGTAAGCTTTCTTCTAAGAGCACCGAAAGATATCAGTATCTGAAGGAACGCTCTGAGAAACGAGCTGCGGATGCAGCCGCTGCAGCCGCAGCGGCTGAGGAAGAACCGGCCCCCGAAGATGAAGATGCTCCCGAGGAGGTTGAGGAAGAGCCCGAGGCTGAAGAAGAGGCTGAGGCCGACGATGCAGTTGCGGCTGAGGCAGCTGCTCGTGAAGCTGAGGAGATTGCGGCCGAAGAGACAGAGCTCGCGGACCTTGAGGCTAGGAAAGCTAGGAAGGGAAAACTCTCTTCTAAGAGTACTGAACGATATCAATATCTCAAGGAGCGCTCAGAGAAACGGGCTGCGGATGCAGCAGCAGCAGCAGCAGCAGCAGAAGAAGAAGCCGAGCCAGATCCGGAACCTGAAGAGGCCCCGGAGGATGATGAAGGCGACGAAGAGGATGCAGAGGATGTTGAAGATGCTGAAGCAGCAGCTGCTCAAGAGGCCGAAGAGGCTGCTGCAAAGGAAGCTGAAGAGATCGAGGCCGAAGAGACAGAGCTCGCGGACCTTGAGGCTAAAAAAGCTAAAAAGGGAAAAATATCTAGCAAATACCGGGAGAGGTATGATTATTTAAAAGAGCGTTCGGAGAAACGGGCAGCAGATGCCGCTGCTGCAGCAGAGGCCGCCGCTGAGGCTGAAGCAGCTGCCGCCGAAGCTGAAGCCGCCGCCGCCGCCGAGGAAGCCGCTGCAGCAGAAGAGGCTGCCGCTAGAGAAGCTGAGGAGGCTGCTGCAAAGGAAGCCGAAGAAATTGAGGCTGAAGAGACAGAGCTCGCCGAGCTGGAGGCCAGGAGAGAAAAGAGGTTTGGAAGGCTTCCCACTAAGAGCCGCGAGAGGTATGAGTATTTGAAAGAGCGTTCTGATCAGCGGGCTGCGGCTGCGGAAGCAGCAGCTCAAGAAGCAGCAGAAGCAGCAGCCAAGGAAGCCGAGGAGGCTGCCGCCGCAGAGGCCGAAGAAGCAGCAGCCAAAGCAGCAGAGGAAGCTGCAGCGAAGGCCGAGGAAGACGCTGCGGATGATGCAGAATTCGCGGCCCTCGAGGCTAAGAAAGAGAGGAGGGGGAAGTTGGGTAAGAAGGATAAGGAGCGATACGAGATGCTGCAGAGCAAGATTGAAGCCAGAGAAGCTGCTGCTGAAGATGCCCCGGATGAGCCAGAACCCGAGCCAGAAGAACCTGAGGAACCAGAGGAACCTGAACCCGAGCCGGAGCCGGAGCTCGACCCGGACGAAGTTGAAGAGCTTCTGGCTGATCCACCCCCGAAGCCAAAACCAACCAGTGATGCCTTCAGTTTCTGGGGCCTGGGGAGGAGGAAGAAAGGTACGTCATCTTACTCTGGTGTACACCCGGCATATGTGGTGTTACCCAAACATATGCATGGAGCACGTCAGCCGGATTGAAATCACTGACTCAGCGACAGTTGTGGAAGAACCCGTCGAACCGGAGCCGCCAGCGGAAGAGACGCCAAGATCTATGGGAGGTAAGATTGCTGATAAACTCCAAGCTTTTGAGTCTGCTCCGCCAAACGTGGAAGCCGAACCAACTGAGCCACCTCCGGCGGACCCCCCCTCAGTGCAAAAGAAAAATCTCACGAAAAAGAAGAATAAGAAGTTGACCATCAAAGAAGATAACCCCGAGGACGACGAGGATTTGCCTGGCACATTCCCGGATGACGAAGACGACACATTCGAAGACGCGAAAGAAGAGGAAGAAGAGGTAGAGGAAGCAAAGGAGGAGGAGGAGAAGGAAGAACCGCCTGCAGAAGAGGAGCCTCCCGCACCAGAGGAACCCGAGAAAGAAGACGAGATCGTCGAGATCATCGACATGGCCCCATCGAAGAAGGACAAGAAAAAGAAGAAGAAGAGCAAGCACAAAGCTGTCGAGCCAGCGCCAGCACCCGAGCCAGAACCTGCACCCGAGCCAGAAGAGCCAGCACCCGAGCCCGAGGAGGAGGCACCGGAGCCAGAGGCGGAACCCGAGGCTGAAGCTGAAGCATCAGAATCCGAGCCCGAAGCACCACCGGCCGTCCCCGATCCTCCCCCACCCCCGCCGTCGGAGCCTAGATCCCCCAAGAAGACTCGGCCAAAGATCAGCCGCGATGCCGGCTCATCATGGAGCACATGGAACTCACGCGAAAAAGAAAAGAAATCGTCAAAGTCTAAGCACGGAAAACGATCAGCAGAGAAGGAAGATAAGGAGAAGGAGAAGACTTCTTCCAAGGGGTCAACGTCAGACAAAGCAGAGCGTTCAGAGAAAGCGTCTTCTCGATCAAAGGGAACGTTCAGCACACCCCCGATCACTAGGGCAACACCTGGTCGCGAGAAACGTCCAAGTGCTAGTCGTCGGTCGTCTCGACGGTCCGTGGATGAATCTGGATTGATGTCTCCTCCCGCTGAAGACATGCCCGAGATGTCATCGAAAGCTGCTCGCGTTTTGGGTGTCGACGGGGACAAGCCTCGAGAGAAGCGAAGATCTCGCAAGTCGCGTGCCCCTGAAGCCGATGCGAGTGGAGAGGTAGATGCAGCCCAAGAAAGGGTTGAGCGACGACGATCAAGGAGAGCCCCACCGGAGGAAGATATTGCTATGGCAGATGCAGGAGACATGCCCTCAAGACGTGGCTCATCCTCAAAGAAGGGAGGTCTCTCGGGATTGTTCAGTGGCCTTAGGAGCCCTAAGGTTGAGCGAGGTGAGGGCAGGAAACGCAGCATGTATTCTGCAACTGATGATGAGGGACGAGGCGGCGCAGATGGTGATCCTGATAGAGAGGCTCGACGGGCTGCACGCAGAGCTCGACGAGCAGAGCGCGATGCTGCGGAAGCAGAAGCCACCGAAGAGCGGCGAGCTAAGGAAGAGTCGCGCCGTGAGCGACACCGGCGGAGAGACGAAGATGCCGATAGAGAGGCCCGACGGGCAGAACGCCGAGCAGCTCGCGAAGAACAGCAGAAGGAGGAAGAACGAGAGGCTCGCCGGCAAGAACGGCGCCGAATCCGCAAGGAACGAGAAGCAGAAGCCGCAGCTGCCGCAGCGGCCGCAGAGGAGGAGGAAGCGGCTGCTGTTGCCCGGCGGGAGTCTAGACGTGAACGTCGTCGTACTCAGCAAACCGAAGGCACAGAGGATGAAGAAGATCGCCGTAGACGACGCGAAGAACGGCGAGCAGCCAAAGAAGCTAGGGAGGCTGAAGAGGCCCAGTACCGAAGCAGTCGCCAAGCTGAGCAGTCGGGAGACGAGGGCTCCTCTTCTCGCAGGCACCACCGCCGGAGGGAACGTGAGCGAGAACGAGAGCCAGTTGGCGAAGCATGGCCCCATTCTGGAATGTCATCATGGGTCAAGGACGTCACGGACGCACCGCCGCCAGACCAATTTGACGAGGAGCAAGCTCGTCGGGAAGCCCGCCGAGCGAGACGAAGTGCCAGGGCTGAGGATGTGACGGCAGACGAGGACGACCGAAGACGTCGACGAAATTATCGGGACGACAGGTATGGAGGATCTGAAGGGAGTGACGAGCGTTATCAAAGTCGCCGAGGCTCAGTCTATATGGACAGTGCAGCTGCACCGAGAAGTAGCTGGTGGAAGAAGCTAGCGGGCGTTGTGTAAGTGAGGTTTAGCATAGCAAGGTCTGTTGTTTTTGTAGCATTTTATATATTATAGCCTATTTCAATTTATGTAGACAGCCATTATCTGGAATCAAGACATGTTCAGTCACGGAAGATCTCAGTAGATGCAGAGTGAAGACCTTGGATGCTTGGCACGGCCCCCGATACGAAGGTGAGGCTGATCAAGCAAGCAGGATGGATGCGTGCATGCATTAATACGAAGGATGTGGTCGCATTGGGATCTTCGTAGCGTTCATTTCTGAGGACGGCGCCTTAGTAAGGGAATAGCCCGGGTTGTCAGCTGGGGGGTAAATATAGCATTTGCGGCAGACGGTTCCGAGGCACAGCCTTAAGCGATTTGACTGGCAATAATGAAACAATCAATCTGAACACAGGTCCTTTCTGTCATTGGCCACACGTCATCCCCCGTGTTTGATACTGGTGCCATTGGCGGCTGTGATAACGTGTTCGATGCGTACGTGGATTCTGGATCCGTCAGCCGTTCAACCTGCTATAACTGTACATGGTAGCGCCTCCAGCTAGGCAGCCCCCTAGCAGCAATAGTGCTGTCCGATAGGCGTGCCTTAGTGAGCTCCGATGTCTTGGCCCCCTACAGCCCATCTGGATTGATTATATGTACGGCCAGATTGCCCTGCCCTCGACAACGCAGCTCGCTGCTCGACGCATCTCGTCGCTCCCTCACAGCACAGCATGGCGACGCCTGGGAAGCCGGCGCCCAACACAGGGCCTTCGTCGAGATGGGGGTCGTTCCTCTCCCAGGCCGTGGCCGGCGTCGAGTCCCGCCTTGACAATATGCTGTCCGAGGAGGACTCCAAGAAGCTGCAGCAGCAGCAGCAGCAGCAAGCCGGGAAGCAACCACAGGCCCAAGCCCCAATGAGCATTCCCGCGTCGAAGAATGCGGGTTCTGGTAAGTGTTTCCTCTAGGGATACGAGCGCAACAGGGCCGACCCTCGATATGACAATGGGCTAATCCAGGTGCCCTTTTATAGCCGGCGCTTCTCGATCATCGTCTCGGACTCGACCGTCTGCAAATGACCGACTTCAGGCTCGACTGGCCAAAGCCGTGGCTGCCAAGCAGGTCGGTGGCGGAGACAGCAAAGCGTCTGCCTCGCCTCGGAGCTCCATTGACACTACCCGCAGCTCCATGGATAGAGTCTCAATGGACAGGGCTGAGAAGAAGCCTTCCGAGGAGGAACAGAAACCACCCGCTGCGCCTAGCGAACCGGAGCCTGCGATTCCCCTAGAAAGCTCGACAGCACCTGCAGCCACTACCACGATCGCCGCCCCTGCGCAAGACAAACCTGTTGCGCAACCGGTACCGACCCCCGAGCCCGAAACTGATGGCGCGAAGCCATCCCCTGATGTTCAAGAGGAGGAAACGAAGAAGGATCAACCAGTGGCGCAAATCAGTCCGAAAGAGACACTAGAACCGGCCCCAGTCGCTCAAACAGATTCATCGAAGGAGGTAGATGCTCTCACGAAAGAACTGGAGGAGGCCAGGGCGCGCTACCAGGAAGAAATTCAAGAATACAGTGAGAGAGTAGATTCTCTACAGTCGAAGCTTCAATACCTATCCAAGAGCGCTGCCGAGTCGGCGAAGAAGAGTGCCTCCTCAGCGGCAAACGGGAGCGCAGATCGCAAGTTGGCAGAGAAGGATGAGAAGATTGCCCTGCTTATGGAGGAAGGGCAGAAGCTTTCCGGCATGGAACAAAAGCTACGGACAACGATTAGGAAACTGCGCCAGCAGATGGCAGACAACGAGAAGCAGAAGGCCGAGCTAGAGAAGAGCCGGGACAAGGCACGCTCAGAGGCCGAATCATGGCAAAGCCGTTTGAATAACAGCGAGGAGTCGGAAAAGCTACAAGAGGCCAATAAAAAGGCGACCGCAACATTACAGAAAGAGATCGATTTATTAAAAATTCACAGAACGAGCCAGGAGGAGACGATATCTCGTCTGGAGAAGGAGCTTGCAACGACAGAGGAACGGGTGGAGGCCATTTGCGCGGAAGCGCATGCGAAAGTACTGGCTGCCGAGAAGGAGAAGCAAAAGGAGTTGGAAGGGATAATTACTTCGCTAAAAGCCGAAAAGGAGGAGCTGGCTACCCAGGGCCGGCTAGAACAGGAAGAGTGGAAAGAGAAAGTTGCTCGTGCCCAGGAGAGAACCAGGGTGGTCGAGGAAGAGCTGAAACTCGAGATCCTAGCTTTGGAGAACAAGCTGGAGGCTATGCGATCAGTAGCTGAAGAGGCGTCCTCAGGCTCCGGAGGGGAGGGTCAGATCAAGCTGATAAGACAGATCGAAACATTGCAATCCCAATATGCGACTGCCAGTGGGAACTGGCAAGGAATCGAGGCCTCACTGCTTGCCAAGGTGGCCAACTTGGAAAAGGAGAGGGATGATGCCCAGCGTCGTGAATCCGAGATGAGGAAAAAGGCCCGTGACGCAGTGAGTTGTCCCGACCAGGATCGTGCAGGTCTTGAACTGCATGTTGTTAGGCTATTGATTTGACTGACACTTTTTTAGGCGAGCCGTGCCCGAAACATGGAGGATGAGTTGCAAGATGTCCAGCCGGCACTGGCGACGGCCAAGCAAGAACTGGAGACTTGCAGAGAAGAGATGGCTTCGCTGCAAGCCTCGCTGAAGGCATCTGAAGCAGCTCTCGACCAAACCCGCGCCGACCTGGAAAAGCAGCAGCGCGCAGCCGTCAGGGATTTCCCAGGGGAGGTGGGAGCGCGGCCTTGGGCTGAAGAACCCATCGTGCCACCCTTTGCAAGAAATCAAAGTCGGCCGGACTCGCCACTCAACTCACTCTCGAGAACATTCAGCTCAGATTTGGGCGCACTTCAAAGAGCACGCCGTACCCCCGAAATACCACAAGAGGGCTTGGGCCTGGGTCTGGGCCTAGGGGGCCTCGGAAGACGAATGTCCAGCCAGCCGCCACCGCCGCCACGCACCAACACCCTATCCTCGGCCGGGGTTGGAAATTCAGCATCATCTTTTGTGGCTTTTGACGAACCGTCAAATGGCCACGCACCATCGGTAGTAGAGCGCGAAGAGGCCGTCGACGATAAAGTGTCCTCGTCACCACGGCAGATCGCCCATGATATGATATCAGTATCAACTGTCGGCGCTGGACCATCTGTGCAGCTTGTGGAGAGGATGAGCGCGGCGATTAGACGGCTTGAGGCAGAGAAAGTAGCAGCAAAGGAAGAGATGGCAAGAATCTGTAGTCAAAGAGATGGAGCACGGGCAGACATTGTTGGGTTGATGAAGGATATAGAATCGGCGAAGCAAGCAAAGACCAAGGTGGCCGAGATGGAGAAGGAAATGGACGAGCTCAACGCCAGGTACCAGACAACTCTGGAACTGCTGGGCGAGAAGAGCGAGCTTGTTGAGGAGCTCAAGGCAGACGTGCAGGATGTGAAGGCCATGTATCGCGAGCTGGTAGAGCGGACGGTCAAATGAGTTGAATAGTCCTTAGACGGGAGACAGCAACTTCAAGACGAAAATGCACGAGGGAAAAGACGGAGCGATGCCTGATGTTATCTATTTCAGAATTGATCTATATAGATTCTAGCTGTCTCCCAGCTCGATACCTTCTCTCTCAGCACCTTGTATTATATAGCGGCGTACCTGGAAGGTGGGTAGAGTCAGTTAGCCACTGCTGGCAATGTACAGGAAAGCAACGATTACAGCGAGAATGAAACACTTGCCTCCTTGTCTGGGGCTAAATCGATAGCTAGCTTGTCCTCGATGGTTTTGAGTGAAAAGTCGGCCCCGGCTTTGAGCAATGCTACAGCAGTGTCTCCTACGAGAACGTTAATCTCAACGCTCATGACATCCGCCCCGAACTCCTATTCCTCAGGTAGGAGCATATCTTACCGTGGCCTTCGGCAATAGCATGATGAAGTGGCGTATAGCCTTCATTGTCGGTTGCATTCAGCGGGCTCTTGTTCTGAAGCAGGAGGGCAACCATGGGCGCGGAGCCCACAGCAGCAGCACGGTGGATAGGATATTGCCCACGGCGGTCGCGAACGCGCGTTGAAGCCTTGCTGTCAATAAGAAGGCGGGCAATGTCGAGGTTCTTCTTGGAAGCTACAAAATGGAGGGCAGACTGCTCTCAGAGTGCTTCAGTCAGACACTGTAATGTATCCAATAGTTGATGGATTCACTTACTTGGCCGCTGTTATCTAAGAGCCGATCCTGTTAGATTCGACGAGGCAATAACAACTTGGGAGGATGAAATAAGGACCACTTGCTCTTTGCATTGACATCCGCTCCTTTGCTGATAAGAAGTGTGAGGACGGGCTCGTTGTCGGGAACGCTGGCTGAGATCATGAGAGGGGTCCATCCACTCCCGTCCTGGATTGCTTTGATGAGTGATCTATCACATTAGAAAGCGAACTAATAAATCAAATAAGTACCTCGATGTCAGCATCAAATTTGGGCTGTTCCGCCAAAAGAGAAACAATTTCTAGATTGTTGGCGGAAGCCGCCCAGTGGATGGCATATCGTCCATCATCGTCCACCTTCTTGGATAGTTTCGGATCTGTCTGTAAGGCAGATTGTTAGATGGATAATCTTACCGGAGACTAATATCCACTTGCCTTGAGAAGATTTTCCGCAACTCTCACTTTTTGAAATTAGTTGCAAGGTAATGAGAGGACGAACGAGGATCATATAGACTGACCTTGGCCTTGCCTGGCTGCGGTATGCAGAGGGAAACGATCATTCGCTTCGGTCGTCATACTGATTGATGGTGACAGGATAATCTGTGATTTCAGACCCAGATTTACTCCAGCTTGGAAGAGCTCTTGAGCTTTCGTTCAGCAGTCTCGCAAATATGACTTGTGGTTCTTCTTTGCTATGAAAGCATAGTTGATCATGAAGGAAACCATCGTCTATTGGCGCTGTAGTGGCGCGGGCCTTCAGCAGTCTTGCGTAGCAGCTTGCAGCCTGTAGCCTCAGGTGGTTCCGCCTGTGAGAGCTCTGCTGACTAAGACTCTACTTGCCTGTTTTGTAGTGCAGACGCCAGAAGATCTTATCCGTATCGCATATGCTTTTGATAATTCCTAGCAGCCAGGAATTTTTACTCTCTATCCTCGAGCCAACGCAACGACCGATTGACACGGGCTGGTATCATCGTACGCTTGGATAATCATCATGGAGGCGGTGCAGGCTCCTCAGCCAGCTCCAGAGCTGAGCGCTCTCGTCGCGCATAATGCCACCACCTCGAGACAGCTCTACGCAGGCGCGCAACCGGCGCCAGACTCGACCAACGCCAACAAGCGACAAAAGCTCGAGACCGAGTTCGCAGACCCCATAATGAATCGTCGTTTCCAATCCGAGTATGCGGCCGTCAAGACTCTACCCCCGTCCATTGCTGCCAAGCAGCCTGGTCCCAAATCTGGGAAGAAGAGCGCGAAACAGACTGGTGTTGTGGCCCGCCGCCCAGCCCAGAAGCTTCTCGAGGGAGCCCCTGGGAGCACGGCTTCGCCCTCGACGTCGTCAGAAACGAAGGCAGACACTGGTGCTGCTCGTGCAGACTCGACAGAGGTCACGAGCCTGATTACTACAAGAGGAGGCATCTCACTCCAACAAACCAAGCCCGAATGGCACCCCCCGTGGAAGCTCATGCGCGTCATCTCCGGCCATCTTGGCTGGGTTCGAGCTCTCGCTGTCGAGCCTGGGAACAAATGGTTCGCGAGCGGTGCTGGCGACCGTACAATCAAGATTTGGGATCTGGCAACGGGCTCGCTGAAACTAACCTTGACGGGCCATATCAGCACGGTCCGTGGCCTCGCAGTCTCGCCTCGACACCCTTACCTTTTCTCCTGCGGTGAGGACAAGATGGTGAAATGTTGGGATCTCGAAACGAACAAGGTTATCAGGCACTATCACGGCCACTTGAGTGGTGTCTATACCCTCGCTCTTCACCCAACACTCGATGTGCTTGTGACAGGTGGTCGTGATGGTGTCGCACGAGTATGGGATATGAGGACGAGAAGCAATATCCATGTCCTGTCAGGCCATACCCAAACTGTCGCCGATTTGGTATGTCAAGAAGCGGACCCTCAGGTCATTACAGGCTCGCTCGATTCCACTGTACGGATGTGGGATCTCGCTGCTGGCAAGACAATGGGCGTTCTCACGCATCACAAGAAGGGCGTTCGTGCCCTGGCTACCCACCCAACTGAGTTCACATTTGCCAGTGGCAGTACTGGCAGTATCAAGCAATGGAAGTGCCCGGAGGGTGCCTTCATGCAGAATTTCGAGGGCCACAATGCCATCATCAACTCGCTAAGTGTCAACCAGAACGATGTTCTTTTCTCTGGAGGTATGTTCCTCTCCTACCGTCACTTTCTATTTTTGGCTTGCTAACTAACGTTCTCAAGGCGACAATGGTTCTATGAGCTTCTGGGACTGGAAGACGGGCCACCGATTCCAATCTCTAGATACCACTGCCCAGCCTGGCTCCCTTGATGCCGAGGCAGGTATCATGAGCTCTATGTTCGATCGTTCTGGCCTGCGCTTAATCTGTGGCGAGGCTGATAAGACCAGTAAGTCGAATCTATTTGTCCTCTTCTCAGATAAATCGGATTCATCTAACAACTTGGTAGTCAAAATCTGGAAGCAGGATGAGAATGCCTCCCCAGAGACTCATCCTATTCAATGGAACCCAACTTTAAGAAGTCGTAAATTCTAGTCTATTTTCTGGTCTAATGGGATATATTACGTCCGAGGCATTGTACACAGCACGGGGTGGCGTTTTACAGCAGGTTATTATATGGGTTTCGATACATGTTTATACACCAATTCCAAGCAGCCTTAGCTCGGCATCGTCGCGCAAGGCCATCTTCACCTCATCATCAGCTATCGCAAGCCTCAGGCGGCTGGATCGTTCCGCACGTTGTGCCTCGAGATTGATAAGCCCGGCAGCCACAAGCTCAAGGGCCGCAGTATGTATGTGGGCCGGGCGGCCCAAGTTCTGACTGCCAACGTGGGATCCCTTGGTGCTGGCAGGTAGAATCTGAGCCAGTCCGGCATTTGAGGTCGGCGCCCGCAGATTGGCACGGTGAAGTTCATCAAGCGTCTCCCCGAAAGTCGTTTCTGCCAGGCCTGTCCGCCGGATCCGGAGTAATATCGCCGCCATTAAGAGCTTCGACACGAGCGGAAGGCTCTTAAGGTGCTGTTGGATAGGGTTGGTGGTGGCTTCGTTGATAGCCTTCTTGATGGTGCCAATGGTAACGCGGCCGCGTTTGGATTGAGCTGCATCGTTTCGCCCTGTCTTGCTAGGAGTGTTTGGGTCGCCTTGAAAGTCACCCTCTGCGAGCTCCACGGCTCGGCGACAGATATCCAGCGCTCTTCGAGCATCTCCACTGACAGCGGCGACTTTACGGCTGGCGAATTGAACTGCATCTGGATCCACGATGTTTCCTGGAACTCCCTCAAGACGTGATTGTATAATTTTCATAAGCTGCTCATGGTTATATCCAGGGAATGTAATTCGAGTTAAACCTAAGAGTAGTGTCAGTTGCTAGTCTTGGGAAAGGGTGGCATTAGAAAGTGTTTGGCACGAAGGTACTTACCCAGTCGACTGCTGATCTTGTTGCTGAGAGTTCGTTCTGGGAGATCCATAGTGTTGGCAACCGCCAGAACGATCAGTCGGCTATGACGGAGTGTCGGCCAGTTAAAGAAGTTGTACATGACGGCCTGGTTCTTGGTGACTAGCTGATCAAGCTCATCCATAAGAACGACACATGGGGTCCGTCTAGGGCTTGGATTTCGGAATTCTCGCTCGAGCAAGTCCAGAGCTTGGGCTGGGCTGGCTCTTTGGCCTTTGAGGGCCTCCCAGAGCAGTGTGTAAGAGTGATGGGGGTCGGTGATTTTCATGCCATTAATTTCAACAAATATGAAGTCGTCCAGTTCATCTGAGCCAACGGCTTCTTCAAGACGCCCGATAACTTCTCGTACTGTAGCAGTTTTACCTGTGCCTGGGGTGCCGGATATGTAGATACAATTACCTGCCCCATCTGTGATTGCAGCCTCCAGGTGTGAGTAGACCAACGAGAACTCGCCTTCTCGGCAAGGCAGACTTGAAGGGATCGATGAGACATGCAAGCGGGAGCGAGCGATCTGAAAAGGGGAGGAACCTGCAACGGTTGGATCGATCTTGCGGGTGCTGAGAGGTGTGAATTCCAACTTTTTGCCCGTTCCCCTGGCGCGAGATCCAGGAGTAGCGCTCGTTCGTTTTGATTGTGGTGTTGCCGCCCCTGTTCCTCTGCCTGTCTTTGTTGGGGTTTGCGGGGGATAATAGGCATCGTCGGCTGGCGAGATGCTCCTAGCTCGGCGCCGTTGTCGCGTAACCTTGGTTCCGTTCTTGACAAAGTCGATCAAAGCGAAGACGCTATCGCCCGCAGGAACCAACTCCTCCCATATGAATTCATCGGTATACAGCGCTGCTCGGGTGTTGCAGCCCCGGCGACAAACGAAGACCTTTCCATAGTCGGGGGACTGATGTGGGACCTTGCCAGAAGGATATTTATTGTGAAATGCGTCCAGAGACATTATCTTGGCCTTGCCGTTGATCGAAGCCAAAGGATTGACGTCCCAGGATGGAGTGATGTAGAGCTCGTTCTATTGTTTCGTGTTAATCATGGCAGTCCGGACTCGCAGCAAACACTTGCAACTTACGGAGCAAAAGTCGGTGCGCTTCTTATTCTTGTTCCGGATCTCTCTCTCCGTAGAAAACCACATGAAATTCGCAGCTTCATTGCCCTCGCCGTCATCGTTGATAAATTCACAGATGAGGCCGACCCAGGCCTCATTCGATCCCTCTGCCTTGAGCAGGACACAATCCCCTACGCGACACTCAAACTTGCCCATCCGAGCGCCAATGATTTTGCTGCTGCCATCGGTAACCCTTCTCCGCTTGCGATTGCCGGTCTCGGTCTCGCTGTCGTTCTCTTGGCTGTCCTGCTCGACGGCAACAGGGTGGGCTTCATAGATCCATTCCCAGGGCAAGTCATCTTCGCCTAGTTCGTCGTCCGAATCCTCGCGAGCAACTCCGCTAGGTGCCCTTCGTTTGCGAGTCCATGACTGTAATTGGGGAGACTGGTGCGCTGGTGAAGGCATGGTTGGATGGGGAATTTGGGTTGATCAAGATTGGAAGCACGGCGCCATTCAGATGGAAATTCCCATGGGTATAACGGGTTGCTGGGCGCCCTGCAAATAAGCTAGAAACTACTTTACGCGCCTGGAAGACGCGCCGTGAGCGTTACACTTCCGTCATCTACCGCTTAAATGAATATCACCCTTTTTATGCATATATCTCTTGTACTACCACGAAACGGCATTGACGCTGTCTGCCACCGAATCACCCAATTGTTTCTAACTATTATCGAGACAATATAAAACTCCGAGAGACTCAAAGGACAACATGCAGATACCTTGAATAAAAAAACTGATTGGTTCGGCCAAATGAATGTTTCGGCAGGTACCCTTTGTTCGCTCCTGCCTGAGCGGATTGAACTGCGAGTCGCTCACTTCCACCTCAGAATGCGGATTGAGCGTTGTACAACACGGGCAGGTACCTATCCGCTAGGACCGTTGCCTCTAGAACACTTGTATATATGCTGCCTGCCTTGATTGCCAGTGCCATTTTCTCCTCTTCCATGACTCCTGCCCAAACTTTCGCGCAATCGAGATTCTCCATCTCCCATCCAGTCTTTCCTTACTTCCTCAGCCATCTCCCCTCAAGACACCTAACCCTCTGCAAGGCCACTGGATCAAACTGAATTCTCTGGCAATTTCTTGTACTGCTCTTCGAAGCGTATAAACAATGCTACGGCGAAATATCCGCCGTGAACCAGGCGGCGGCGGCGGAACTCGCGGTCAATGGAAAGAAGTGCAGATCAAAGTATACGGAACTACCAAAAGAAGGTCGGACCTAAAGAGACGAGAAAAGGAAAGGACTGAAGAATCCGCATACCTTGGCCCAGCCCCAGAAGGTTTGTTTGAGGTCAGTATCTGTTGTGGACCAGAAGAGAGGTGCAGCTTGGGGCTGACTGAAAGCAGTGCCGATTGGTAATTCCGAACGCAGACCAATTTCCAAATGGCCTTGAAAATCTTTCTGGATTGGATACCGTGAGGCAGAGTCAGCGAGTCTGGATCAATGTAGTCGAACCGGACGTTTTGTCGGTTCGCAGCAAGACTATGGCCAATTTGCGAGAGGCTATGGGTGCAATTAACTGGGCTTTCCATGACATGAGGCTCTCGGTTGAAAACCCGGCGGCTCAATTCATAGTCCAAATGCCCAAATATGCCCACGCAGAGGGTCCAGTCTTTGTTGATCTGGGTGCCCGCCCAGTCATTGGAGAGACAGACGCACCCAATGAAGCCAGGGAAGCCAACGTCATCGTGAACGACCTCGTTGGGAAAATCGCACCTGGCTTATCAGGCTCGATGGAAACTCTCAGGGGTTTGGACAAAGACCTCTCGATGCGTGCTCACCTTGGACGGATCAACATTCGCCAGAAGAAGACGGGGGCGGGCAGAGAATTCTCTCTCAAGCAATTCGAGCAACTCATGAAGACTTACTCCATCCGCGGAGGAGCTAGTCTGAACTCCGAGTAGGCTCACCGGATCCCAATATTGGAGCATTTCTGAACTGACCTTGTGTTTCTCGACTTCAGATTGGCCGATGTGCAATTTGTTGACAATGTCATTGACTGGTTCAGCAACCCAGCCCATGGGCTAGTCGAGGAGGCGGGCGAGTTGGAATGCAAATGCACACTCGCAATAGTGAGTCCAGAGTGCGAGTTGGGTGGAACAGTTCAAGATGTGTCTGGACCAAGCCCTCAAGTTTGGCTAGAAAATCCATTTTCTTTCGAGCAACATCCCAGACTTGACTGCACAGTGGCCTCCCCGGATAGGTAAGTGTCACTGTTCAATTGACTTCGGTGTGCACATGTTGACAAGTGTTTCCCATACAAAGACAATTCGACTGGAACTTTGAAGTTCATGCCGGTATCATTATGGATACTGCTCCTAACGGAATGCGAACAATGTTACAAAACCTGCCAATGTCAGGAGCAAAGACTCCGGATGTCAGCCGTCATCTCATATTCCCCACGCTCAAGAAATTACGACCCAACCATATCGACACGAGTGTCAACGAGACCAAGCTGAAGAGTTCAGTGCTTCTACCGATGATAGGAACGCCGTATGTGATTAAGATCAGCATAACGAAATCCTGGAAAGGCTCCGAAGTGACCGTTGCACCAACTATCACATGGAGTATTGAGTTCTATGGCATGCACTGGAACGAAATTATCAATACGGCGAGCCGAGATGGCCGAAAGAAGGACTGGGGCAAGGATATGGACAAGATCTGGGCAGGATCTGACCCAAGTCTGGAGTCCAGGCTTGGGGATTTCCTCCACTGTATCTTGCGTATCCAGGCGGCCTTGGATGATTTGGTAGCCAGCCGGGCACAGCAATCTGAGTAGTGCAACATGTTTGATGATTTTTTTTCTCTTCTTCACCGGGCAGGGTAAAAGTTAAAGGGGAAATTCTTTTTATGACTGCGAGTCTGCAGTGCTCTGAGCGGCCATTATCTTTTGTCTCAGGACTAAGCCAGATAGTTAGCGAATTTCATTGCAATAACAGCGGGGTTTCATAATGTCCGTACCCTCCTCAATTGTGCGAGCATTTTGTTGTTTCCGCTGAATAATTATCTCCAAATCCTTGAGATTGGTTTGAAGCTCTGTTACTTTGCCATCGTAGAATTTCTTCGCTGAGCTCAGTTTCTAGAGAGAGAAAAGGTCAATATTTCCATCGCTGAAAAACTCAAGGAGTTGTATAAAAACCTTTTCCACTAAGAAACCCGTACCAACGTCCACCAAAACACTATCCGATTTGGCCAGCTCGCCGCTCACGTAGAGGGAGTTCGTTAAAGGAACGAGAACTGGGGTGGGACCTGGAAGTTGCCGTCATCTATTAGCTCATTGAACCGTCTTATATATTCGAGTGGTATCGGGGCAGGCAGAGGAGATGTACCCGCGGGCGCAGCTGAGCGGCTCTCGACACATCGCAGGCAGTCTTTGAACTTGTTTTGGGCGCCGTGGAGTTGGGCAAAAGAGGTTGTGAGGTGTTCGAGCTCTTCGTCTAGTTGTTTCTTGACTTGTGCGAGCTGCTCGGGAGCTAGGGTGTCGAGATTGACTGGGAGGAGAGGTCAGCTAGCGAGCTGGAGATGAGGATGGTGGGATGGGGGATCGAACTTGTTTCCTGGCGGCCTGCCATGTTTGCTGGTTTTGGGTGTGTCCGAGGGGTGTGGTGGGATTATGGTCGCGTCGTAGAAGCAAGCGAAGCTTTTACTCTTCAATAGGTCCCCAAAGTTGGTAGGCGATCAATTATTTTGGCTGTCTGCAGATCTAGATATGATGGTGTTTTGGACTGAACTCAGTGGACTGGGGGTGGGGGTTCAATTGCCCCACCTTCATCTTCTCTTCGCACCCACTGCCTTCTTCAACAGACTCCTATAATCAGGGTATTTTTGAAAGAGCTGTTTTTTATCGCAGGTATGATCGAAATTCTTATGATGATACACATTATTTTCTTTGGGATATGGTCTTTCTAAAATACGAAAGTTGTCATGTATACAAATCTGATGGTACAAGGTTATCAGAAGAGCCTATTAGAGCTTGTTCAATATGCTCTCCAGGTAGCCAGGAACCTCCTCAATCGCAACCTGCTCCTTGATTGAAAGCCTCCTGCACTGGACTTCTACGGCCTGGCGCTCTGTCCAACCCCTGCCCAGGACAATAGAAACAGGATAGCCGATGGTGTCCGCATCTTGCATCTTCCATCCAAAGCTCTGCTTTCGATCATCCAATATCACGTCAAGTCCTGAGTGAGAGTCACTGCTCTTAGCCAAAAGGTCGTAGAAATCTAAAGTCTCTTGAGACACTTTGGATGTGGGGATAACGACAACTTCGTATGGTGCAATTGAGCGTGGCCAGTTGAGACCCTTTTCATCAGCCAGATGTTCTGCCACTGATGCGAAGACGCGCGAGATCCCCAGGCCATAGCAACCCATCTCCACTGGAATGGGGTTCTTGGGAGACGTGGGAAGCGCGACACGTGCATCCAGTGGCTCCGAGTATCGTGTTCCAAGATAAAATGTATGACCCAGTTCCAGCGCGCGTAGGTCCTTGAGAGTTCCCGTCTCGCACCGTGGGCAGCCGTCACCATCCTGGACTCGTAATAGATCTAGCTCGCTTCCATCCGAGTCCGTGGTAACTGTGGATTCCTCTATAGCTAGAGTACCCAGTGCTTCCGGTATCTTGGGTAATGCCAAACTCTCTAACGATTGCGCCACCTTCGAATCTACCAAGTTTATGAGACGGGGAGAGGAGCCACTTTCTCCAGTAGTTCGGAGAGCATCTGCCCAGAGGGGTTCAAGGTCGCCTGAAATACCCGTATCCAAGTCTGGCACAAGGGACTTAAGAGCATGAAGATTGACCTCTCGATCCGAAGCGCCATCCTGGGCCTTCAGGAACCATGCGTTGACAAAAACCTTGCGATCCTTGGTAATGCCTCTCCAGACTCCAACTTGCGAGGGTTTACTGACATCCACTTTCGACTGTGTAGATGGTCTGCAAGAAACCACCTCATCATTGGCAGCATACTCGCAACTGTCACAGCTGAATACTGTGTCCTCTCCAATAGGATGTGCCAGGTGATACTCATGGCTCGAGTCACCACCCATGTCCCCAGAGCTAGCTTCTGCTACCAGGATGGGCAATTTGAGCTTTTCAAAGAACGCTTTATAAGCTCCAGCAACTTGGCGATATGTCTCAATGGCAGCCTCGGCGGAGATGTCAAAGGTATACAAGTCCTTCATGAGAAACTCGCGGGACCGTAGCAGTCCATGACGTGGGCGTTTCTCATCTCTATATTTTCGGGCTTCAAGAGTTCACAATCAGCCAAACGAGTGAAGGTGAAGAGGATTTGGGTTGGAATATTATGAAAGAATAGAAGATTGGAAGAGAAAGCATACAGGTCTGGTACAACTTGATAGGGAGATCTTTGTAAGATTTCAAGGTGTTGGCGACTAGAGTTGTAATTTCCTCCTCGTGAGTTGGACCAAGCATCAAAGGAGTCTGCTTTCGGTCCTCAAATCGGAAAAGCTATGAATTCCATTTGGTCAGTACAAGTAGAGACAGTGTAAGTAGTCAGCTAAATGACAGGGTTCCTACCTCTGGCGCAACTTGCTCAAATCGACCGCTCTTCCTCCACAGGTCCTCTGATGTGATAGATGAAAGAGACACTTTTGAAGCCCCTGCAATTGTTTAGATAGATTAGTATATAGTTTGCTTGAAATCAATGGGGGTGAGCTCACCAATTGACTGCATCTCCTCGTCCAGCAATCGCTCAATCTTCTCTTGAACCCGTAGACCAAGAGGCAGCATATGAAAGATTCCCGATTGGGCCTATGATTGAGTGATGGTGGGTTAGCTCAGAACATCGCGCCAAGTCGAGATAGTATAACATACTTGCCGCAAAAATCCTGCTCGGACCAACTTCCCGTGGCCAGCTATAGAAAGGATTTTAGACTATGATAACAAATGCCGTGGAGAGGAGTGTACAGACATTCATCCTGAGTCTCAGAGACCAGGCCGGTAGGTACCCATACTGATGAGAGAGTTGAGCGCCGTGGTTGCGGTTGGGATTGGACAGCGGTGTATGAAAGCTGTTTTACTTGAGCGAACTGCAGACCTACCCGCCGGACCACCTGCCGGTGTCGCCCGACTCTGGAGATGTACATAATTTATATTTCCACCATATATTGTTGGAAGATAATATATGAGATGGAAAGGCGAGTAAGTGGAAGTCCAATTCCAGACAACGCGCCAAAGTCAATGGCAGTGCTTCAACTTCGTTTCTCCCCGGACTCGCAGGGTATCACGGAGAGCTTCACATCGCTGATTGTCCTGCGGTAGACACCGAAGGTTTAGGTGGGCAAGCCACAGTGGCGCAGGCGTAGCAATCTGCGCTAGCAGGGATGGTACATCGTAGCCACTTCTTATCGTGTCTAGAGTGGGGCGATAACGGTTCAAAATCTAATCTCCAAAAAAAAAGTTGCGGATGGTCAATGGATTGAATGCTTCCACTACCATCCAATTCCTGTGTAGCCTGAAAGAGTCTCTGTGCTGGACGAAATGGCAAAGGCAGGCAAGAAAGGAAAGAGTCCAAAGCGACAACAAGGCTCTCGGAAATTCGACGAAAATGCGCTGGAGCATCTCACCTCCCAAATTGACCAGAATCTAAAAGGTGGTCGAGATCAGAAGCGCAAGAACCCCCCAGCAAACGACTCTACGTCAAGAGACTCAAAGAGACAGCGCAGCTCTTCGGGTGCTCCCAAATCAGCTTCTAAGGACGACACTGAGTTGTTGTTGGCAGAAATCAAGGCTTTGGGGGGGGATGAAAAGGATCTGGACCTCATTAAGGATGTGAACTCTGATGATGAAGAGCTTGCCAATGAGCAGAAGCAGAGCGTCGACAAGAGCCTTAAGGATGAACTTTTAGCCTTTTCAAAGTCGCTCGGATTTGCCGACTACCAGCCCAGTGAAGCCAGCGAAGAGGAGGCCGAAGCAGACCAAGATGATGGCGTGGACGCCGAGGAGGATGATGAAGACAGCCTGGGCTCCGATGAGGAGGAGGTCAATGGCGAGGATGAGGATGATGATGAAGAGGAGCAGGAGGCGCCCCCTAAGAAAATTGGAAATATGGTAGGTCATCCTTACTCTTTGGCGATGGCCTCACAGCTAACAGAACGAGCTAGACGTTTGATCCAAGAGCTGATTGGCACGCCACAAAACTTCTAAAGTTGCCCGGTGTGTCTTCTGACATTGTCGCTCCATTTATGGGCGCCATTGATTCACTCAAGGTTCATGCCAAGTCCTTGCTAGAGCAAGATTCCGCCAAGTATAGGACCAGCTTCTTTGCTTCAGCTTCCCACAAGTTTCTTTCCACTATCATGACATCCGGTACACTCAATGATAAAGTATCTGCTCTTACATTGGCCATCCAAGAGTCCCCCGTTCACAATATCAGAGCGTTTGACGGTCTATTTGGTTTGGCTTCCAAGCGAAGTCGCGCCCAAGCGATCGGAGCGATTGGCGCTTTGGTAGATTTACTCGGCCCGGGAACCATTCTTCCTCCTGATCGACGTCTTCGTCAGTTCTCATCCCAGCCTGGACTCATTGGAACTTTGCAACGAGCATCCGTGAAGTCATGGCAACCTGGACAACCTTATCCTGGCAAGATCAACGAGAGCCATCTCATTTACTGGGCATACGAAGACTGGTTGAAGGAAACCTACTTCAAGGTCATTCAATTGTTGGAGAACTGGTGCTCTGATGAGATTGAATATTCCCGAAGCAGGGCCCTGGATTTTGTTTATGGGCTTCTGAAGGAGAAGCCAGAGCAAGAAGCAAACCTGTTGAGACTTCTGGTCAACAAGCTTGGCGATCGCGAACGAAAGATCTCGTCCCGAGCATCTTATCTTCTTCTACAGCTACAGACATCTCACCCCGGGATGAAGCCAGTCATCATCCGAGCAATCGAGCAAGACGTACTTCTCCATCCGTCGCAAGACCACCGTTCAAAATACACGGCCATCAACACACTAAATCAGACTATTCTCAGCAGCAAGGAGCCTACCGTTGCGGAAGGTCTCATGCGAGTATATTTCGAGCTCTTCGTTGCGCTTCTCAAAGCTGGCAGTCTGGGTATCGGCTCGAAGGAGGATTCGGAGAAGAATGCCAAGAAGCCCGGTGGTAAGCCTCAAGGCAAACCTGCTGGTCAGCGTGGCGACAAGAAGCCTTCAGCGCAGGAGGTCGAAACTGCCGACAAATTGGTATCTGCCATTCTCACTGGCGTGAACAGAGCCGCCCCCTTTGTCGGCGCCAATGATACTATGTAAGTCTCCAAATTCAAGTCCTGGTTGAGCTGATCTAACATAATGACTAGAATGGAGAAGCACCTCGATACCCTCTTCAGAATCGCCCACTCATCAAATTTCAACACTGGCATCCAGGCTCTGTTGTTGATCCAACATCTCTCCTCTGCGCGCAGTTTAGGAACTGATCGATTCTACCGTACTTTGTATGAATCGCTCCTGGATCCACGACTAGTATCATCCTCGAAGCAAGCCCTGTATCTCAACCTCTTGCTCCGCGCTCTGAAGAACGATGTTGATGTGCGGCGTGTAAAAGCATTCGCGAAGCGGATGCTGCAAGTTGCAAGCCTGCATCAACCTCCATTCGTGTGCGGACTTCTTTACGTTATCGCGCATCTCAAGGGGACGTTCCCCGACCTACCAACCTTAATCCAGGAACCAGAGGAATCCATATTTGATGATGGATCGGCAGAGAATCGCCCCGTCTACGATGGCCGCAAACGAGACCCAGAACACAGCAATGCGCAAAGAAGTTGCTTGTGGGAAATCGTATGTCACCAATTAAATCAACACTCATAAAAGTTCCAGTTCTAACAATCCTTTAGGTTCCGGTGCAAGGTCACTATCACCCATCTGTATCAGTGTACGCAGCGGCAATCATCGACCAAGACCACAAGATTCAAAAGCCTGATCTTGACAGCCATACCTTGATCAAGTTCTTGGACAAGTTCGTATACAGAAGTCCCAAGGCAACTGACACATCACGCGGTACCTCTCTCATGCAGCCTCTCAATGCTACGAAGGATGCTGGAGATATTTGGCTGGGCCGTGCCGCAGGCGCAGTTGGACCCTCTGTCAACTCTGCTGCCTTCTGGAACAAAAAGGCGGAGGACGTGGCAGCCGAGGATGTCTTCTTCCACGAATATTTCCAACATGTCACTAAGGACCCCAAGAGGCCTTCCAAGAAGGTTGCCAAGGAGGATGGTAGCGACGAGGATGTCGAGGAAGATGAGATCTGGAAGGCACTGGTTTCTGCTCAGCCTGATGTCGACGGTGGTGATGGTGGCTCAGATGTGGGCTTCGACGACCTTGACGAGGACGAGATGGCATCTTCTGACGACGACGAGTCGCCTGATCTGGATCTTGAGGACGACGACCTCGATGAAGAAATGGGAGACCTGGATGACGAGGTGGACATTGAGGGCTCAGATGAAGATGGGCTGGTGGCTATCGAGGAGGATGAAGACGGTATCACCATTAATGATTCCAAGGAAGAGAAGGATAAACGCAAGTCAAGACGCAAGCAACTCAAGGACTTGCCGATGTTTGCCTCTGTGGACGACTACGCAGAGTTGCTGGCTCAGGAGGAGGACGACTTTTAGTAAAAATGCAGTGGTGGAAAATATGTATATAGATTTAAAGACTATTCAATGGCATAGCAGCCAATCCCTTAATTGGGGATCAGCCTGTTCCTGTCCCTCCATTTTATTATCAAAAGTCAATTGCGCCTCGGACCCTGGCGCCGATGCTACCCGGCAGAAAGGGGATAACTAATTCAACACCCGCGACGGGCTACCTCGGCATCGTCTATATGCATACAGCCGACAATCGATAAGCGATAAGGATTTCCAAAACGAGTCAGTAGGGCTTCGGCTGTTGAGCATCCTACCTCTCTGCTCAGGGGTGAGTATATTGTGTTTTGAAGCGTGTTCCTAGACTCATTCGCCGACGCAAGCCAGGGTTTTTTCCTGTTCACTTTCTTTCCTTTTGTTTGGTGCAGATCAACATGTTTTCCCGGCAGTTTAGTCGCAACTCGCGCCAGCTCGGCCAAATTGCCCTAAGGGCAACCCGGCAGCGTCGATGCTATGCGACAGAGTCACAGCAAGGTATGTGGTACCTTTTTCTTTCTTTTCTTTTTTCCGTGTTCCTCCTCATTGGGCCCCCTTCTCTATTCCAGTGGTACCGTGGGTAACGGCAACATGGCTAACGGGTTAAACAGCCCCTTCTAGCCCGCTACGCAAGGGCCTCTCGTTCGCTCTCTACGGTCTCACCTTTGCCGGTCTCGGCGCCGGCGGCGCATGGCAAGCCCTCAAGAGCCAGGGCCTCGGATTCTACTCGGACGAGGACAGCCTGCACAGGTTCGCACCGGGCGACGACGAGGCACGCAAGGCGGAGGAGGTGATCCAGTCGCACCCGTTCGTCGCCGAGATTCGCAAGCGGACGGACCTGAGCGAGTCGCGACCTCACATGAAGATGCCGGCCGAGTACAGGCGGCGCAGCCTGACGGGCGGCGCGCTGCTGGGCCCGCGCATGATCGTCGTGCCGCCCCTGACGTGGAACGACGCCGAGGGGAGGGAGATGGTGGCCGTGGCGTACCTGGGCGAGGACGTCTGCGGGCACCCGGGCATCGTGCACGGCGGGCTGGTGGCGACGATCCTGGACGAGGGCTTGGCCAGGACGTGCATCAAGGCGCTGCCGAACCAGGTGGCCGTCACGGCCAACCTGAACATCAACTACCGCAAGCCCACGCCGGCGGGTTCGTTCTTCGTAATGAAGGCGGAGACGACCAAGGTCGAGGGCCGCAAGGCCTGGGTCAAGGGTCGCATTGAGACGCTGGTCGAACCGGGCCAGGAGCCCGTTGTTCTGGCTGAGGCCACGGCCTTGTTCGTGTCGCCCAAATACGCTGCTGTGAGTCGGAGTCCATAATATTGCATGCGAGTGAAATAATGGCTAACAATTATTCCAAACTAGATGCTTCCCAAGATGACGTAGCCTGAGGATACGTGATATATGAATTTTTTTATCATTTACATTCTGCCTGTTGAGAAGTACATTGTTCACTCATGATCAGGAGAGACATTTAGTTCGCCTGTATTTGAGCCGGAAGCGCACTGCCCTGTGTATAGAGAGATATATATTACTAGAAGGACTTGAGATTCAAATAGAGTTAACTAGACATGAGAAACTAGACCAAGCGTCAATCCACTCACCCAGGCCCAAATTGCAATACTACGTGCGCGGTGCTGCGGTGGCCCTGGAGCAGCCCGAGTCCCGTGCTCTGGGATCACGCAATTTGACGACGACAGATGGAGTCGTGACTCGTACATACCTACGCAAGTGTCAACCACGGCATGACGCCTTAACTAGCTTAATCGTGGAGAAAGATGTCGCAGGGTGGAGGGGCTCCCGACAGGCTGCATTTCTCCCTATTCGTGCTCCGGTTATCGCACACCCAGTCCCGGCCGACGTATTTACCATTCACCACCAAACTAAGAAGATGGCGAAGCGCTAAAACAGGTCCTCCCGAATTGTGCATACCTTATCCAAAGATCATTTTTCTTTTATAGATTTCATTCTCTCTCTCTTCCTCCCTCTCATTCACACACGCCCGCACACACATAACCATGGCTACGTAGGTCTGCCCCTCTACCCCTCCATCCTGATTCACCCAGCGCCAATTGCCCCGCCAAAGCCGTCCCTCATATTACCAAGCGCTTCAGACTCGCTAACATCACACTCGGCTGAACAGCAACATCACCTGGCACCCTTCGCTCTCCCGCCGCGAGCGCAATGAGCTCCGCAAGCAGCGCGGCCTAACCATCTGGCTGACTGGCCTGTCCGCCTCAGGCAAGTCCACCGTCGCCACCGCCCTCGAGCAGCACCTCCTCCACCTCGGCCTGGCCGCCTACCGCCTGGACGGCGACAACGTCCGCTTCGGCCTGAACAAGGACCTGGGTTTCTCCGAGAAGGACCGCAACGAGAACATCCGCCGCATCTCAGAGGTCCGGCCCCCATTCTCCAAAGACAATTGGTGGGAATAATGCTAACTGGTTTCGCCAGGTCGCCAAACTCTTCGCCGACTCCGCCACCATCGCCATCACCTCCTTCATCTCCCCCTACCGCGCGGACCGCGACCTTGCCCGCGAGCTGCACAGCCAGACAGCCCAGGGCGACGAGCCCATCCCCTTCATCGAGGTCTTCGTCGACGTGCCCCTCGAGGTCGCCGAGCAGCGCGACCCCAAGGGCCTGTACAAGAAGGCCCGCGCCGGCGAGATCAAGGAGTTCACGGGGATCTCCGCCCCCTACGAGGAGCCCGCCGCCGCCGAGATCACCATCAAGACCCACGAGAACACCGTCGAGGAGTGCGTTGCTCAGATCGTCCAGTGGCTGTCTGAGAAGGGCTACGTCAAAACAGCATAGACGACTGCAGGCCAGTCGGGTTTTTCGCGTGCGGACCGCATTGAGGGGGAAAATTTCTGTAGAGTAGATAGATAATCATGCCCGTCTTGTTCCCCCTGAAAAAAACACGTACCTGCTATACTGTTATGTCCGCTTGATTTATAGAGGTAGAATACAGGCGTTCAAAAGATATAAACAAGGGATAAACGCAAAGATGAGAGAGGAAAAAGAGGCGAGGAGTAACTTGAATTTTCAATGGCTTGAACCTTTCTTCTTGTCGCCTTCAAACAAACACCCCCAGGGTTCATTCTTCGTCGGCTGAACAAATGACGTACCTCATTACATTTCCGGTCAGATTGTCTAGGGGAACTCGACCTCGTCATAAACATATGCTGTGTACTCCTTTCCTTCGCCTGTTGCAAACCCAGCTGCCGCCATTTCCGAGCTCATGGCAGCATCGTCCTTGGTGATCCTACCACGCTTGTCCCTCCCAAAGGCGTTGCCACCCAAGTATGAAAATTGTGAATCCAGAGCCGTCTTGACCTTGGGAGTCAGTTTAGGGGTTGTCTAAAGCCATTGGTGTCAGTATTCAATATCAGTCTCGATAAAAGAAGGCTGAGAGCGTCCTTGCGTACCTTGATGAGCGCCGTCACATAGTCCAGAGGCAGACCATATCGCAAGACAGCTTCCACAAAGACCTTTAGCGTCAGGACATGAATCCAGATCATGACGCTTTCACTCCACCCAGTACGGCCAATTCGTAGAGCTTCACCGCAGACCTTTCGCTCTTCATTTGTGACCTTATCCAGCTCCCGCTGCTCCTCTTCCCGACCTCCCTCGACATACTTGTATTGGCGGGGGGTATACTTGTGCTCTCTGCACTTTGCCAGGAATTCGGCACTGTGCTTCTTGAAGCCGGCCACTGCGAACAGCACGAATTCCTCATCGTGGGCTACCTCGATCGCGGATCGTGGAACAACCATTGGCGCAAGGGTTTCGTACGACTTGATGAAGTCTTTCTTCGAGTTCGTAGGAACCACAATGAGATGGGTCTCGATGTATTCCGAGTCATGGACGAGGAGAGAAGGATCAACAATGGGTGATAGCGATTTGGTTGCCAGGTTTCCGCTGTTGGGGTACGCAAGTTAGCGATCTAGTTGGTATAGCTGGGTTAGTGATCCCAACTAACGTTTGTTTTCTGTGGAGAGCAGCCAGGTTCGTCTTCACAGCGTTGTACTGGTTAAACTTGGTTCTGACGTCGTTGTCGGCATTGGCGAGTTCCTAGTAGACGAGGTTAGATATGCTGCGACATGAAGCATCGGGGCAAAACCGCCAACCTTGCGAAGAGTGTCGATCAGCTCGCCAAGCGACTTGTCAGCGCGGTATCGAATCTTGTTCCATGAGAAGCTGCCGACATACTGGTCGGTAGGTTCTGCAATCTACATTAGCCACATAGCTCAATGGGAGCTTGAATCAACCAACACTGACTATCATTGACCATCTTGTACTGCGACAACCGATCCTCATCACCATTGAGCACTGAGCGCAGTGACTCGGAAACCTTTGCTACGACACCTTCTGCGGCTGCCTCAAGCTTAGCCAGCTCATCGGCCTGCTGGACAAGTGCATCGAGGGTGCCAATCTTGAACTCTGGGATGTTGAAGGGGACCACGGTGCCGTTGTCTGGATTAATGGTGGCGCTCAGGGCAGAGATTGCATCGTCCTTGTCGTGGGAATCGAAAGCGCCCAAAGGGAGGGACACTACGGCGTATTTGGACGGCATCCTGTGATGAGAGTCGTCCGCTCCGTTGGGCGGTCGAGATGGATGCGGCGGGAGGGAACTAGCTCGCTGGCTGGATGTAGAGGTACCAGGGAGAAGGAGAGGGAGAGAGAGAGAGCAGATTGCTCGGAAGGGGGAGCAGCGTGGTCAGCCTCTAGCTCTCGTGTATCTCGCTAGCCAGTTGTGCCGGAATAAGGCAGGATGAGGTAGCTGATAGGTAGGTGGTGGTACTGGCCTAAATCAAGACAAGACGGAGCTCGAAGGAGAGTGACCTCAGCGAGCGCCGATGAAGCAAGGCCCCAGCCACCAGCAGCTCAGTGAGGTAAGGGTGGGGCGTGTGGCTGAGAACTGCCCCTCCTCAGGCCGTTAGATACGTTATGCACATAACGGGGCACGTGGCACTGCTGCACCGCTGAATGTTACGTAGCTGCATATAGCTACAACCAGCAGCCAAGACAAGCACATGATCATGATATGACTGAGATCGTACCCTTCCCTTGATGTGTGATCCTGAGGGAATCGACGCGACGTCCGTAATGGATTAATGCTCATTGATCCTGCGTCCAGAGGCATGACAGGTACTGTAGGCGCTTGGGAACTCAGCTGAGCCAACTCGCTTTTTCGTAATGACCCTAGATCCACGATTCTGATTTTGCACCTCCTCCACCATCCACCTTAGAATTACCCCGGGACCTCGCTCTCGCCGAGAACTGTCAGTCGCATCCCGGGGAGGAATAAAATGACGGCGACAGCCATGTCGAGCGGTCAATCTCCCGGTCTGTAGATCCTCACTATGCAATTCCATGCCGTTTTTTTGGTCTGGTCGCAGTCGCGTGCTCAAAACATCACATACTGACGGCATCGCGCTTTGTGCAGAAGCCAGCAGTTCGGCTAGTATATCGCCAGACGATGAACTTTTCACAGAGGATTCTCCTTCCCGAGGCGCAACTCCATCTAGACCTGCTTCTGCCTCTGGCTCTGCCGCAGCTTCGAACTTGGATCATCTGCCTTCTATCCCATCGCAGCCGCAGGATGCGAATGCGACAATCAATGGCGTGGCCTCTGGCGCCTTGCAAAATACTTCTCTTGCCACTAGAGCTCCTGATAATACCGCGGTGATATCCAATTCCAACAGAACTGGATGTGAGGGCACCCGAGAACATCCCTGCATGTCATATTGCTAACCATCCATACTAAGACAACACACACAATAGTAGTGGCGATGTGAGCACTGATGGGCGAATACGCAATCCTATCCCGAGCAAGCTGCTTGACAGCGCAACGGAGAAGGACGGGAATTTTGCTGTCATGCACATGGATGTGGGCAAGCCGGTCATGGACGCCAGATCGATGGCTGCAAAGCGCACCAGCGAACTGACTCAGGCCGCCGCCATGCAAGCAAACAAGAATGGCTATCAGCCTGTGAAGCGAAGCAGGCTCGTCTGGAACACGTCCTTCCACGATCACCAGCAGCATCCCAACATGAAATCATACGAGCCTACGCCACCACACCAAATACCCCAGTCGCTCTCTCCGGTAGCTGTGAAAGCTGAGCAAGCTCGAATCTTGACTCTCCTACGTAGCATACACCCAGTCATTGTGGTGGATCAGCTTTGCAAGGCGATCGCTTATTTCGGTGGCATCCCTGGCGCTCCTCCTCCGCCAAATAATGTGTATCCTGAAAGCGACAAGAGAAATGGTTCAGGGGCGCTCTTCATCGGCTGGCTATCTGAGATCTTCCCACCTGCTGACTTCACCAAACCTCCGTTTGCACCGCCGGCGCCTAATCCTCCTGCGGATTCCTACCAGCCCAGCCCAGTCACTAATGCCCCCAGTGGCGGGGATCACACTACAGACGCTGGAGCTCATGACGATGGCCACTCTCAACCACAGCCTCCTGCTGCAGCGAAAGACCCGGTCACTCAACAAAACCCGGAAACCCCTAGAAGACCGCGAGGACGACCAAAAGGAAGCAAGAGCTCCAAGGTGCGGAAGGACAAGGGAATCAAGAAGGGGAGCCGTGTGCCTGACGCTACTTTCGCCAATACCGATATGTCTGCTTCCAATTTCAGTGGGAATATGGAAAGCCAGGGTGACTCGAGCCAGAATCCAGTGTCAACCCAAGTCCCTGGTGACTTCAGCCGTGACCATCACCCTATGAGCTCGCAGTTTACAGAGACGCCAACGCAGGTGCTAGGGGATACATCTATTACCGAAGCCCCAGGATCAGGTACGCCTAGCGGTAAGAAGCGCGGGCGTCCCAAAGGGTCAAAGAACAGACCCAAACCCAAACCCAACCCGGAAACAGTTCATGATTCCCCAGTCGCAGAACCACGCTCGGGCAATATGGATCGGGTTGTGGCTGTCGGATGGATGCCCACCGATGCTTCGCCACAGGCAGGACCACCAAACTCCTCCCAGGTGGAACATGCCAGTCGGGTACCAAAACCAGTCAATGGGCTCTCTCAACATGCGGAAAATTGGGCAGGCCCCCCTATTCAAGACCATCCGCAGCCTTCCGAGCCAAGTCCCCAGAAAGCGGATGATCAGGCCAACAAGCGGAAAGCCACGGTTCAGGCTGGGGGGGATGACTATTTGCCAGTTCAGACGAATGGCCAAGGGCAATCAGGAGGATCTCAACCGCAGCAAATGCCAGAATCACAAGCAATCCAGAACAAACGGCCACGTTTATCCCAGGATTCTAGCGAGTCTGCAATCATCAGCCCAACGGATAGTGTCAACGGGCGAGCACCAACGACTCTATCCACCCCAGCCTCCCAAGAGGCAGCTACTTCTAGTAGCACTTCACACATCCCGGCAAACTATGATCTCAGTCCCATGTCTGTGCAGTCTGCGCAGCCACGATATCAACAGTCTCAAGTTTCGCAGCAACAACAGCAAATGCAAGAGCAAGGGCCAGCAAACGTGACCTTCAACAGAATAGCCACAGGGCCAACACAACCCTTTGGTTCCCAACAACCACAACAGGCTGTTCGCGAGAGATCTACTCAGAACAGACAAGCCTTTTACAACCAGCAGCAACAGCATAATCAACAACGGGCACAACACTATCAGCAACTCCAGAACCAGAACCAATTCGCCCAGCTCAAAGCTGCCTCGAATATATCCTCCCACGCGAGCAGCGCATCCCCGGGGAGCTCACCCACCGAGGTCCGCCGGCCGAATCCTACAGTCCCTGCAGCCCAGATGACCGCGAGCTATCCAGCGGCCTACTCCAACGATTCCGCATTCATGGCGATGGAGTACGCCATGAGCGCCAACAGGGCCGTCGAGCAAAGCCAGGAGGCGTTTGCCTCCCAACCAACCCCGACCCAGCTAGAGGCTGCTCTCTCAGACTCAGATATGCGTGAGCGCCTCTACCAAGCATTCAGCGGTCGACGTTAAACACAGCCCCCTCTCCTCTCATTTTCTTTCAGTTTCATGTCCTCATTGTAGTATTGACAGCGAAAACGGTTCTCTTTTTATAATGAGCGTATAACCAACGGGATTTCGGTTTGTTTCTTGGGATCTTTCGGATATCAGTACCCTTCCTCCATAAGAAGTAGGAGGTAAAGTTCACGCGACGACGATCTCATTTCCTTAATTTCTCATATTTCCTTGGGAGCAACGGTGTTGGGTTCTCGGACGTCTAAAAGAAACGAATTGAGTACTGGGAATATGTGTTCACGCGGCACAGCAAGGAGTTTTACAACGTGGCGGGTGGCATTTGGGACGATAGCAAGCAGTCTAGCTTCGCGCATCACGACAATGAAGCCTGCTAATGAGGTCCTTATAATTGGATCATGGGAAAACATAACTCGGAGTTAGAAAGGGAATGATCAAATGAATTTCAACGCTAATTTCTTAATTGTTCTATATTGTTCATATTCCCAAGTAGATCCCGTACAGAGGTGTCCGTGATTTGAGAGAATGGCATATGGTCACCAAAAAGCAGAACAAGGTATGTATGCAGATATGTGATCGCCATGCTTTAGCTTTCCTTTCATTACAAACAAATCTCTCTCGCTCTTCGAGGACTATAAATATATGTAGATGGGAAGAGAATATAACAGGACCAAAGAAATGCAATAGGACTCTCTTTCCGTCCTTTGTAAAGACTCCCTTCCTGTTCCCTGTGTGTAAAATGATAAGGAAAATAAACCAAGAATGTGGTGGAAAAAAAGAAAACGCCATGTATATGCTCGCCTCTCTCTTTGCCCAACTCGTACAAGATATGCATCCTTAAATAATGCGCAAATGCCAAGGAAATGTTTGAGAAGGAAGGGAATTCAGGGCTTCGTCCAGGTCTATGGAAGGAAGTATACCCAAAAAATAAGATCATGACAAAGAAAAGGGGAACAAAGTGATAGACTCTCCTCATTAGTCGGCCTCATCGTCCGGGGTGCCGTGTTGCTGTCGCATGGAGGGAGACACATGACGACCATAGCACCATTCGTCTTCCTCATCAAGCCCATCCTCCTTGATTAGATCAAGCATGAGTTGTTGATTTCTCCTGATATCCTGGGCTCGACCAACGATACCGCGTTTGAGGATCAAAGACTCAGCTGTCCTTGTCCAAATTTCTTGCAAGACTGGTAAGTCATTAAGGAGTAATTGCGCCTGGTCATGGTCCAAAGCCCCCATAGGGATACCATGGGACAAGCTCGTGTTGAAGATCCAATGAGGGTCGGCGCCAGGATCATTCCCGCCTATCGATCCAGTTGAACTCTTGGTTCGATGGAGGCTACTAAATGATGAGCGTTGGTCACGGCTGGGGTAGTGGTGATGTTGTTCTCGATCAGCTCCACTGGTCGACTTCTTCCGGCCAAAGCTCATCAAACTCCTCTTTGTCTTGGTTGTAGTGTGCTCGGGCGATGCGTCCTTGGTCAGGCTGTTGAACCAAGTGTCAACCGCTGCCCTCCTAGTGTTATAACCTTTGATCTCCCAGAGATGTTCAACCTGTCGCAATCCTCCTAGGCATAAAATGGCAACATGGACGTCGTCCGAAGGCTTCTCACGAAGATAACCTCTCAGCGATCGCTCAACTCGTCCTACATACGTTGGGGGACGCAAGCGGCGACAGAAGGAGGCGATAACTAGAGGGAAGACTTCGTGAACTCGTAATAATGTTTGGTCGTCGTACATGTCCATGATTTGCTTCTCAATAGGATTCAATGTGTAAGGCTCTCGTTTTAAGCCCTGGTGTCCATATTTCTCTAGATACTCAAGGTGCAGTTTGCGATATGTCTCGAAGAAGTGGAAGACCGTGAACAAGAGAGGTATCAGTCGACGACGCATACGTTCGCGTTGTGGAGCGAAGGCCAGGCGATCAGCGTCCGTTTGCCGCAAAAAAATGTCCTTGGTTACCCATTCACACAACAAATAAGCCAACTTCGCTGCGACGTGCAACCGGTGCCAGAGGCCGCACAGATAGTGGAAATTGAAGTCCTCGGGTTTCGTGGCGGGGAATAACCGTTGGGCATAGGCGGGAATGCTATGTTTAAGATGATGTCGTACTATCGCTGTCTCGTTCACTGTGATGAGGGCGTGCCATAGTTTCGATGTTGACCGCAGATTCAGTACATCGGGCAAGGATAATTCTGAAATGACCTGTATCTGCAGCTCGGCGGGAAGACTTGCGACTAATTGATCGAGAGGTGTACTATTTAAAGTTAGACTTGCCGCAACAGGGAGATTCGATGGCTGTGCTGTGCTATACCTTCTCCTTGTAGATTCCACTGAGGATCGCACAGGTTCGATGTGTTCCACAGTTGGTTGTACCGGCTTGGAGTGAAGTCGTGAGACCTTGTGTCTGAGTTTGAAGAAGCCTCTGCTCTTCTTGTGATCGTTTGGTTTGACTTCGACGTCGGCAACTTTGGCTTCCCGGAGAGGTAGGATGAACCTAGAGCCAGAGCCAGAGGGACCCGCATCGTGATGGGATTCATTTTGATGTGTCTTGTGTTTTTGTTGATCGATTTTATCATGGAACTGCTTAGATCCGAACTCGGTCGTCGCACGAGCGGCGTCTATTGCGTATTGCCGTGCCTCCGACATGGTCACGGTTGGCGGATGAGGTTGATACAAAGAAGACTTGACGGCGAGCCAATGTAGGAAGTGCGCTTCGCCTCAGGGAGCCAGCCCGTGGGTAGAGGCCGTCTCAATCGTCGTGCGCTGGAGGGGGACGAAAGGCGGCTTATCTAGACATGGCGCGTGGTGTCGGATCGTGATCAGGTTACCACTGTACGCCGCAACACCTACGGCGGTCGAGGCTGGTTTCGCTGGATGTGGTGCAATTGAGAGATGGCAGGATCGCACAAATCCAATACCGTCGTGTGATCCAGGTGGTGTGGCTAGGTCGATTCCCTATCACGGAACGGTCGCAACGGGCAGTCGTGCCGGGTCGATGCTCTGGGCAGACGGGTGAATTGGCCAAATCGTAGGGTGAGGAGGATTCGTGGGCCGACGAGATCGAAAATGGACGGCGTCAGGTGTGCGTCGTCGGTCGGGGGATTCGGACGGCGAAACGGAGCCAGAGGGTGAGGGGGAGGATGCAGGATGCGGTCGATGGAGGCAAGATGCGATGCACGGAAAGGAAACCGAAAATGAATAGAATGGAAAAGGAAAAGCAGCACAAGTAGAGACAGGATCAAAGAGTGGAACGCATCCAGGGCGATAGTGGGTGGTGTGGTGTGGTGTGAGATGGACGGCTGGAGGCAAGTGCGAGAAGGTCCCTCTGTCTCTCGGCTGACTGCCTCTAGTTGAGTTAGTTGGGCTGGAAAGCTTGTGTGATAAGCCCAGTGCATGGAGAGAGTGGGCGGGCAGCGCGGGCGGCGCTGGTTCGTCGACACTTAAGGGCGGCGGTTTGGCCGGCGTAATAGTGGAGAGGCACCAAAAATGAGCCTTCTTAGCCTAGTGGGCGGCTCCAGTTACAGACAGAGGGGGCTTGGGGGCCCAGCCAGGGAAGGGAAACTCCACCATATAGAACGGTAGGGCACAATATTAAACTAAAGCGCGCGTATCCCCATCAATCACCGCTCTATTCATTGGTCGCCCGCATCAGATTCTCGGACGGTCGGTGTCGCCCAACATATGGCGAGTCAAGCTAGGCCTTCCCAACAGCAGAGCGTCCATTACCTGAGTAACAATGGTATGGGGCGTTTCTCCACGCACAGCCCCAGGTCTCGATGGGTGAAGTGAAGAATGGAAAACACACGCCGTTGTTTTGGTTCCGGGACGATCAACGCAAGGAGGTATGCAGCTGGCTAGACGCACACCACGGGTCGCTGCCACGATGGACGAGCAACCAGAAACAGCACCGTCATGTACGGCCAATACAACTGCGACAGAACCCGACAGGCCAACGAACAGGCCAAAAGTGATCGCCCCGAGAGGACACAGTGCCAATGGAATGCAAGACACCGCGGACTCTACAGTACGCATCCATCTTGGCAGGCCCAATGTGGTGCAGAGGGCGAGCAGAGTCTGAAGCCCGCTGCTCCCTCCAAAACCCCAGTGCCGATTCGGCCCGCCAGAAAAGGCAATCACACTACGCCCGCTTGAGTCGCTGTTTGCAGCACGGCACAGTGGAGCCCTCCACTGGACCCTGCCCGGCCGAGTCGCATTGGAGCCAGCACTGGCCAATTTCTCCGCCATTGCTCCGAATCTGTCTACTTCACATCACGCTACGAGCCACGCTCTCAGCAAGCTCAGCCCAATCCCCAGGCCCATTGAGCCATGCAGCGATCACACCAAGCCCAACAGGGAAGTTTGATCGATTGCGTTTGGCCTCCATTTGCCATCCATCAGCGCTGACATGCGGCTTCAAACGCCAGGGCCTGTAGCATCGCAAGCCTTTCCTGCCTCTCTCATGAATCCTGGGCAGTCGAAAAGGAGCCAGGCGAGACATTGACGCGTGGGCGTGTTTTCTTCTGCCACTATGTCTTTCATGTCTCGCCTACCCTCGCCTGCCTCGCTCTCGGGCGCAGCGTCCTCGCCTCGAGACCGAAGGAGTGGGAGTGGACTCAGGTTCAGAATACCAGCGGCAAATGTGAGTACAGAGTCCGACTCTTTGAGTTTTCCCAGCAAGCCAGCGCACCGGGTACTGTTTGCTTGTTTCAGACCCCTCGGGATCCCGCCGTCGCTCGCGAATGAAGCGCAAGCGTTTAGCGAGAGTTTAATGATCAACACCAAGCAATGAGACAAAAATGCCGGTAACAGATAAACGCCCGCGCTGCATTTTCGACCTGCCACGCTAAAAACCATCCAAATTTTTCGGTCCTGTGTCGGCTCTACCGCCAGTCAACAGGCCCTTTTCCAGAGACTGGATACCAATTATATGTCCGGCCGGTTCACAAAGAGGTAGGTGGTGTAGTGACACTCCGAATGTTAGGCTGCCATGGGCCGGCACCAGACTAAGCTGCATATACGGATTGATGATACCTAGATCCATTTTCCGTGCATCTCAATGCCGATGATGGATGTCCCGTGTGCGTGAGAACATGATCCCTCTGCCGTTCCATCTCCATGGTGCCATCTCGATGAGGGTTGTGTTACAACGCCTGCGTCACATTGTCGCAGGCTACAGTAATATACGGTCTGCCTCATGCCATGAAATCCACATACCGTTTTGCTACAACCCCGGAGCCATCGTCAGTGGACCGCTTGCCAACAAAAAACAAGAATCCAGGATGAGGATGGAGATGTCAGAGGTCTGCCGGCAGAGGTGCGATCGGGTTATTTTCCAAGTTTCAAATCGCGGGTATCGCATTCTCAGGCACACCGATCTTTAAAGTCAACTGGCGACTAACGGCGATTGAATTGACAGCCACCTTAGACGTACTTAGAATGTAGCACTACGAACGGCGCTTCTCCGGCCGTTTTGAGCCAAGGGAGTGGCTGCCCGTCGCCCACTGCAAAGCAAGTTGGGCCGGCATTTTCCCGACGGGAATCATGGTGACTAAGGTGCTCAACCACGTTGTTCTATCGTTTGATAGCTGCACGGCCGCATTGACCAAGACGGGCAGCCGTGAATGTGCGGGTAAATTAGATTCATCCAGGTCGGCTGAATATGGTTCCGCAGGAGAAGGACGTATCAAGCGATTGATCAAATGCGCACCAAACGCACAACTGCGACATGCGTCGTACAGGGCATGGCATTATGTTGCACCATGACTGTGCATCCCAGCCCTCACGAAGCCCCCGTCATGTTGAACACAACCTCGTGTCAAGAATGGCGATCGGCGGATTATTAATTGGCTTGTTGCATATCGTGGTGGTTTCAGATGCATCTAGTGCTCCCACGTGAAGAGCTCAACGCCCGCTGCACGCAACATGCACGTCCTGACTGGAAACACACGAGCACAAACGCACCCATGTACTTGATTTGACTTTTATCTTGCAGCGGCCTGCAAACCATAATGGAGTAATGCTGGAGCCATACCACATATTTACAATGTGTCACAGATAAGAGAATGCGCCATGTAAATTTGACGATGTCAATCTGGCCGAGTCGGCAGAGAGAACACCGAAGACATCCCGAACGAGGCCCCGAGAAAGGGCTATCGATAATAGTCTGGCTTAGCTTTGGGTTTGAGAAGCCTCTGATGACCCTCTCTCCTTTCACGATGCAATATCTCGTGAGGATCCTTACTAAGAAACCAAATTGCGACGACTTGGTAATTATCCCCTCAAATGCGAAACAAGCCAAGCTTTTTTCAAGCTAGACCCTGCATCAGAACCGGCTAATCTTACACAGCGGCCAAGATATGGACTCTCGACATCCTGGAAACCTTCCGAGAGCTGTATATACTGGATTGGGACCTGCGGTGATGCCAACCTAAGTGCTATGGCGTGTCTTTTCGTTTCTCCTTTTCTATACTTCTCCTTTCTTCTTTTCTATCCTTCTCGTTGTGAGTTCGGGTACCACAAAACAGTTATCAGCGGGTCGATCGAAAGGCCAATGCTCCTCAGTAATCCTAAATAAAAGTCTCACTCTCACCCAGCATGACGGATTGGCATAATATAATCCAATATCATGCGAATTAAATTTATACGCCAAAGGCCTGTAAACCAGGGTGATGATGCAACATCATCGGCGAGCTCGCCAATGAGATCTCAGCTCGTTGCTCTTGTTCATCATCGCGTGCGTCCTTCTCAAACTGCAGGACCATCCGTCCCCTCCTTCCCCAATTCCATCCCCTCAGTACCTTAGGGCAGGTGCAGGTACAGGTACGGTGATCATGCAGCAGGCAGGCGCAGGCCAATGGCTGATGGGTCGACTAATTGCTTGTTGACTTGATTCGATTCTCTGGATCCATCGATTGATCCATCGTATATTACTTTGGTACTTTGATATCGCCTGTTGGTTGCCTCGATAAGAACAGCGCTGAGCACCCCGCCATGCTGTAAACACACTATTCCCAGGTTGCCTTACCTTAATACCTCCTCAGTCTCCGTCCAACAGCCTGCGTAATACTAGTGAGATTTCGTCGCTTCCCCACGCCCACTTGCTCTGATTGCTGGGGCTCCGGTTCTGCCCACTGCGTGCTGCTGTTTCACCTTCAGCTAGTTCTTAGGGTGACATATTGTCGCAGCACCACATCAGCTTGCAACCTGTTGGCTGCACAATCACGCTCACACTCACTCACCACTCACAGTACGCGCTGCCTCTCCCCAGCCCATTCTCTCGCTCGCGCCCTCCCTCCCTCGTTCCCTCCTTGCGCCCCGGCCCGGCCGTGAGCTCCCCTCCCCAGTTGCCTATCCAATCATATCATACCCTCTTCATCTTCTCTGTCCATCTGTAACCCGACGGTAAGGTAGCTCCCTAGCAAGCTAAGCTAGCCTAGAACCGAAAGCAGCGTTTTGTATCGTCCTCTGCCTTGCTCTGCTTTGCCCTGCCTTGGTCTGCTGGGCTTTCGGAAGCTCTGCTCTGCTCTGCTTTACTCTGTTCTGTCAACCCACACACAATGGACCCCTCCCCGGAGGCTCCTCGGCCTGCGTCTGGCTCGAATTCCAGCCAGACGCCTATTGCTGTTGTGAGAAAAGACGGCCCAGACCAGGCCTCGGCCGGCACAACCGCCGACCCCGTCATCGATACTCCTCACCTCGCTCGTTTTGAGTTCAGCGATGCCGGCACAAAGATCCTCATGGTGGAGTGGCTTCCTGAAGCTGCACCGGAGGCCCAAACCGGAGAGGCCGCTACCGCCGAGGCCGCCACTGCAGTCCAAGACACGACCGCTAGTACGCAAGGTGGTGCTCAGGTTTCATGGGCCGGGAAGTCTATCTTCCTTCCCGCTAAGGACACTGAGGCCGAGTCGACGTCGTCTTCTTCCGGAGACAGCCCGCCTCGCCGCCGCATCTTCTACCTTTTGCCCCCCGCCGCCTCCATTCCTCAAACCGTCACCATAACCCTCCCGGGGAAGGCCCCCATCGAGCTCGTCCCTCTACCGGCCATTTTCCCCGAGGGTTTCTTAGACGCCGAGACTGGTCGAGGCACCCGGGGCGTTCTGCATACCATATGGGCCAAGAAGCGTGTAAAGCAGCTGGAGCGTGAGATGGAGTTTGAGATGAAGACCAATCCGGAGAGTGTTGGTCTCGAGATGGCTTTGAAGGAGAAGCAATGGATCATCGACACCTTCCTGCGACCTCCTGTTGCCCATGGCTCAGGGCCGGGTACAAGTCCCATCACCCCACGGTCTGCAGGTGCTTCGGGCCGTTTGGGGGAGAAGCTCAAGGGCTTACGGCTTGCTACCTCCCCTGATGATTTGTCCCCCTCAGGTTTGTTCCCATCTTTCCTTTTCTCCCTCGGTGCCTGTCATCGTCAGCTCAGTGAGCCAGGTGGTGGTCGTAGATCTCATGTATTGACAAGTCTCATCTATAGCAAACACATTCATCACCGCGGGAAGCCAGTCCCAGACTCTGTCACCCATCGGGAGCGACGTCGCCGTCTCATCATTTTCATCTATTTCTAGATCCGTGGGCCAAAGCACCGGGGCTCCCATGTCCTTGGATGCCATCGCCAGAGGTGATATTGGCATACCAAGACCTGCCACGGGGGATGCCGAAGAGGATCTCTTCGCCCTACCTATGAGCCCTCGTAGCCCAGAAATGAAGAAGAGCCCCTTCAGCATCCTATGAGGGTGCGGTGAACGGGGAGGAGGGTTTGTATTATGAATTACACAGCGTGGAGGACAACGCATAGCATGATTGATACCCTCAAGCAACTACTATACAGATCAATATGGGAGACCTACCCACACTAGATGACTTCTCTCGACAGATTCTTTTCTGGCTATTCTTATATTTCTTTATTTATTTTTCTTCTCCTGTTATATAAGTTGATGTGGTGGGCTGTCTGAGCGTCGTTGCTGGTGTTGCTATGAGCATCAATATGAGTCGACTCATCTTGTTCGCTGATAGGTATATATGGGAAGGGCCGGTCCCTGTATATGTTTTTTAGAGTAAAAGTAACATATTCTTCTTAAAACAAAGCCCAAGTGATTGATTAAAAAGATACCCTGGGTCATAACGCTATGCATGAAGAACAACAGATGATACAGTGACAACCGTCACCGCTCTAGTGAGGTTGGCCAACTGAATCGTGATACCACCTTCCACGATCAATACCAGACTCTATCCATTTCCTCCCTCTATGTACGCTCTCATCTTCCACAGATATCAGACGGAACCTCGCTCCTGAAAACGACCCTCACCCCTTCTACCTCCACCCGCCCACCCGACCCTCATCCCACCTCTCCTTCCGCTCCTGCCTGAGATAGTACCGCACCCTCGCCTCCCTATACCGCCTTATCCAGTCCCCGGCCTCCCTCTCCGTCGCCATGGCCCCCTCCTCCTCCCCCTCGAGGAAGCTGTCCTCCATCGCCTGGCAGATGCCCCCCTGCTCCTGCACCCCCTGGCTCAGCCGCTGGTACAGGTTCGCGGGCGCAAAGGGGGCGAGCGCGTGGTCCATTCCGGACTGCTTCTGGCGCCACTGGCGCTCGAGCGCGTGCGTCGACAGCAGCTGCGCCTGCGTGGCCGC